AGGTGACGTTCCCCCCTGCACCAGGCTTTGTCTGTACACTGCACCTGCTCTCTACGTTTTTTTTTTTGTTTGTCTGTTTGTTTGTTTGTTTTTTCTTTCATTTTTAGCTATCACAGTTGACCACAGTATTTTCATGTGTTTGTTTGGGGGCCACACCTGGCAGTGCTTAGGGCTTGACTCCTGGCTCTGTGCTCAGGAATCACTCCTGGAGGGCCCAGGGGACCCTATGCGATACTGGAGATCAAACCCAGGTCAGCCATGTGCGAGGCAAATGCCCTAACTGCTGTCTTGTCGCTCTGGCCCTCACTTGACTGTATGTAGTGTTGGACTTGTTGTTTAACGGTGGCAAAGCACCACGCCAGTTCCTCTGCCAGTGTTTCAAATCCCTCCACCGTAGTCCCCTCTGCCCCGTCCCCATGCCCTCAGCACTTATCTCTGTTCTGGTTCTATTGATCCTGTCTCTGTTTGTTTCCATCGGGTATTGTCTAATCACTTGCTTTGTTTCTTTATACTCTTGTGCTTGGCCAAGGTCATCTTGTTTATCTTTCTGACTTAGTCACTTCACTGACAACCTCCAGTTCCATCCAATTTGTAGCAAATGGTAAAATTTAATCTTTTCTCATAGCTGAGTATTTCGCAGTTTCTTTATTCACTCATCTGTTGTTATTTTTTCTTTTTGTTTTGTTTTGGTTTGGGGGCCACACCCAGAGGTGCTCAGGGTTGTGCGACCTGGCTGTGATTCGCAGATGCAGCATTGAAGTTTCTGCAGAGCCAGGCTGGGTGGGTGGGTTGGGGGGGGGGGGGGGGAAAGCTGGACCCTTTGTGCTGGAAGCCCTCCCTTCCCTCCTCCTGGCGGGGTTCAGGGAACCATATGGGATGCCAGGGATGGAACCCCACTCCCGGGCATGCTTTACTTATTTTTTTATTAGTGAAACACAATGAGGTACAGTTGTAGACTTAGAAACTTTTGTGCTTGGGTTTCAATTATACAATGATCGAATACCCATCCCTCTACCGGTGCCCATTCTCTACCACCAATGATCCGTGCATGCTTTTTATACAAGCTGTTCTCCTTGGTGTGAGCTGATAGCTCATTGTCATTTTGATTTGTACTTCCGGCAGGGCATATTTGAAGAGAGAGCATTATATCTAAATGGGTCTAATTTGGTCTCCCTGATACATGCTAGAAAGTTCATCATCTGATGGCTCTTCTGATGCTTTTCTTGCTGGGGATTGAGATGACCAGATTCAGTCCCTGCCTCGAGGACCAATCTTTCCATACTGCATGGGATGTCATTTGCATATTCTCGTATTTGCATATTGGTTTTTTTGTATTTGCATATCAACTCACACAGAGAATGAGGCATTAGTGCATCCTGATAAATAAGTTTTCCTTTTTAGAAGCCCATGGAGGTGGATTTCTCTTCCTGATATTGCTTCATGGAAAATCAATTTTCTTTCATTTTGAAAGCACCTGAGGCCTCCGCAGAACCATTTCTTGTACTTTAGTGGTTTTTTTTTTTTGTTTTCTTTTCTTTTTTGTTTGTAGTAGGGAGAGAAGAAAGAAAATCCAACGGCAGCAGGGATCCAAGCTGTGGCTTTATTATTATTATTATGTACAGTCTTTCTGGGTGGACTGCTGAGCCCCCTGCTCTCAGAATGTTTTCCAGCCCCCTGGGGAACCTCACAGGGAAAGAAGAGCTCATTAAACAATAAAATGCCACCACCTCCTCCAGCTAACTCCGACTCCACTCCCGGCAGAGGGTGGAGCTGTGCAGACCGGCCAGGTCAGAATGAGTCCTAGCCCTTGGTCTTTGGCTGCTTTCACTGTTGGGACTCAGGAGTTTAGATTAAACTGGCAGGACCCCCACAGGGGCCTGGGTGTCCCCCTGTCTCTCCGCATGGGGCAGATGGAAGGGGCTGTGGCTGGCTGGGGCCACTGAAGTAAGAGTGACCTGGTTGTGATTCGCAGATGCAGCATTGAAGTTTCTGCAGAGCCAGGCTGGGTGGGGGTGGGGGTGGGGCGGGGGGGGGGAGAGAGCTGGACCCTTTGTGCTGGAAGCCCCCCCTTCCCTCCTCCCCTCGCACCGGCCTCAGGGCTGAGAGGAAGGACCTGCCTCTCCCAGAGGAAGCTGCCTGTGTGGCTGCAGGCAGGGCTCAGTTCCCACGGCCGAGCCTGCTGTCAGGAGTCTGAGTGGAAGGGGTCTCGGGGGAGAGGGCCTGGGCTTCCTGCTAAGGGGGCCCCCTGGAATGGGCCTGGTGGGTGTGGGCGGGGACTCCCTCTGTGGGTCCTTTGGGAGGTGAGTGGGCTCTGGGTACGTCCCTCAAGCTTGAAGAGATTGGGGGTCAGGGCAGCCGGCAACACCCACCCCTGGACCAAGCCTTGTCCCTCCTTGATGCACCGAGGTCACCCGTCCTTGTCTGGTTTGTGCTAGGGAATAGCCTGTCAACATCAGGTGTTTGGGTCCATTGATGTCTCCCAATGAATCTGAAATCTGCCCCCCCCTGCCCCGCCCCCTCCCCTCCCCCCCTCGCTCCTTGGTGCTTCCAGGTGTGTGCTCACCGGGGGGCATATGCTTCAGGCTCACGCACACTTGGCCTTGCAGTTCCTGTGTGTCCTGGGATTATACCTGGGATGCGAGGTAGTCCCAGGGTAGAACTCTGGGCGTCACACCTGCAAGGCAGGCACTCGGCCACCACATCACCCATCTCTGTCCTCCTCGCTCTTTCTTTTTTTCTGCAGTGGAGTCCTCCCAAACAGTGCTCCCATGCCTGTTGCCCCCCCCCCCCCCCATTAGATACTGGACTCACCAGGCCATTCGGCCGAATGCTAGGCCCTGCAATACCAGGGCGACATCCAGTGATGGAGTTCAGGCTCTGTGTGTTGCCAGGGATGAAACTGGTATTGGGCACGTGCCAGGCCTGTGGCCTCACGCTGTGTCTCTTGCCCGCCTTGCTTTGTGTTAACGGGAACTGTGAACAGTGACTTAGCCCGCCCTGTCTCCACCCTGAGGCATCCTTCCTGTGAAATCTGAGGCTTCCCTGGTCCCATCCAAAGTTGCTCTGAGGACGGGCTGGAGCGATAGCTCAGTGGGTAGGGCATTCGCCTTACATGCGGCCAACCTGGGTTCGATTCCCAGCATCCCATATGGTCCGCCGAGCACCGCCAGGAATCATTCCTGAGAGCAGAGCCAGGAGTAACCCCTGAGCATCACTGTATGTGACCCAAAAAGTCAAAAACCAACCAAACAAAAAAAACCCTTTAAGAACTAAACCCAGGGGCTGGAGCAATAGCACAGCAGGTAGTGCATTGGCCTTGCATGTGGCTGACCTGGGTTCGATTCCCGGCATCCCATATGGTCCCCCGAGCACTGCCAGGAGTCATTCCTGAGAGCAGAGCCAGGAGTAACCCCTGAGCATCGCTGGGTGTGACCCAAAAAGGAAAAAAAAAACACAAGAAAACAAAAACTAAGTTGCTCTGAGGTTCTTGATCACTTCTCAGAGCCCCTGCGAGGCTTCGTGGCTGGTTGGGGGAGTCCCTGATGTTGGGGTGGGGTTCACTGATGTTGACAAACTGGCTGTGGAAATGGCCTGGGCGTCACTATTCTTGAAGGAACTCCCACGGGCTCCTCCTTCGCAGTAGCGGCTTGCTCAGGCACGGGGTCTCTGAAGACCCCTTCTGCTGAGGGCCTTGTACCTCCCGAGAGCCCAGCAGCTGAGTGACGTGGCTTGTGTCCTGCTGACAGTGAATCTCAGACCGACCCCTTCTGCCCTGTGCCAATGGCCCCACAAACTACCCCCCTTGTTCATCACCTTCCTGGTTGCAAATGAGGAGGTGGCATTTGGGTTTGCTGCAGGAATACCTGAGCTGGGACCCCCGGGGCGGCCACAGTGCCTCCCCTCAGGGCCCCGAGAGCCACACTGAGTCAGCGCCCTGGGTGCTGGGCACCGGGGCCAGCAGGAACCCTCTGGGTGGATGTTGCAAGCCCCGGCCCATGATTTGGAATGCTCTCGCTCTTTCTGGCTGTAAAGTGTGCCCCTACTGGGATGATGGGAAGGGGCTGTCTGCTCTGGGGCCACACAAGATGTGTCCACTCTGGTGTGTGTGTGGGGAGGGGGGGTGGGCTCTGCTGTCCCAAGTCTCAGCCCTTTGAGTCAGTGCCCCAGCCCGGTGCTTTGGGGGCTCTTGTGCCCAGCACAAGAATTTAGGGAGTGTCTTCCTTTTGTTACTAAGGAGTGTGTGTGTGTGTGTGTGTGTGTGTGTGTGTGTGTGTGTGTCAGGGGGTGGGGATTGGGTTTAGCTTTCGGGCTGAAGAATCTTCTGGGAGGACACTTGCCAGCTACCCTCTAGCTAGGGGGCCGCCTTAAATCCGTTCCTTCGTTCACCCATGGGTGTTCATTCCCCATCTTTCGGTCCAGATGCAGGAGGCCACAATTAATGGACTTCGTGGCCCTCGTGGCCTTTTTCAGCCCAAGAGACGAGCAAGAATGAAAGTGATGAGGAACAAACAGAAGCGATCAATAGTGGCGAGGCACAGGATGTGCCGGGAAGGAAGGACAGCGGGCGGGGTGGGGGTGGGTGTAGCTTTGTGGACAGGTCTTGTGGTGAGAACAGCGTCCATGAGTGTCCCTTGGGCCTGGAGGCGGGGCACTTGCCTTATGCATGGCCAACTCGGGTTTGATCTCTGACGCCCACTTATGGTCTCCAGGCACCGCCAGAAGTGATCCCTGAGCGCAGAGCCGGGAGTAAAACCCTGAGCACGGCTGGGTGTGGCCCCCAAACAAAACAAAATGTTCCTTGGAACCCCGTGGCTGCCAGTCACGTACCACAAGAGGGTGCTGTGCGCTGGGCAGCCGGCACGCCAGTCAGGGTGTTTTGAGTGGCGCTGAGATCATCCGGCCCAGGCCGGTGCTGCTGGATTTCTGGCTGGGGTTTCCTGGGACTCACTCCTCAGCCCTGGCCTCTGCTGAACCCTATACCTCTCCCCTCTCTCTACCAGGAGTTCTGACTCTGAAGAAGCGTTTGAGACCCCGGAATCCACGACCCCCGTCAAGACCCCACCTGCCCCACCCCCACCACCGCCAGAGGTTGTGCCAGAGCCTGAGGTCAGCACACAGCCGCCCCCGGAAGAACCAGGTAAGCAGGGGTCATGTGCGCTGGCCGGCTTGGAGGGACTCCAACCGCCACGGCTGCTGAGAGGGTCGCAGGCTACCTGGAGGCTTGCTCTGCAGTGTGGAGTGGCATCTAGGGCATCGGCTCCGTACAGGAGTTTCTGTCTGAGAGCCCCGGAGATGGTCCCAAGTCACCGGCCTCCCCTCGGGACACTGGCTCTCAGAGTTCAGTGAATCTGCGTTTTCACTCGAGTATTTGTTCAGGCTGGGGAGACAGCATGGGGGTAGCTCCAGCACTGCGTGGCCCCGAGTCCCTCGGGTGGCCTGGTTGAGTCCCCATCACCACATCCCTGTGGCTGGAACTCACCGGGAGGCCTTCAGTGGGCCTCCAGGGGGATTCCCCACCAGAGAGGACTCGGCTCCGGAGACTTGGGGATGGAGAGTAATGGACAGTGAGTCTGGGGGCTTGTTCATTCTGCATCAGCCCTGGTGCCGGATCTCCTGCTCACGGTGGCACTCAGACCTGCTGTACCTTGCAGAACGGCCTGGAGGGAAGGGAGGGGTTGTCGCCCCTCCCCCCAGCCCTGCCCGCACCTGGCTGGCATCCCTTGTGCTGCCTCCAGGTACCCAGGGCCCAGACAGCTCCCGGCCTGAGACTTTCACTAGGCCGTGCTGAGATAACCTGGGACAGCCTACCCCAGGCCCCACCCTCAAGACCCTGCACTCAGGTGCTCTTCTGGCCTCCCTTTGGGGCACCTGGACTCAGCCAGGCTGTGCATAGTAACCGGGAGCGACGCCCCAGGCTGGTAGAGCTCAGGTCTGCCCCTGATAGAGGCCCTGGGGTGGGCGGGGCCTGCAGGTGGGGATCCGATAACCTGTGCCGGCAGCTGCTGCAGGGGAAAGGTGAAGGGACAGGCGAGCAGGAAGAGAAGTCACATCCGGCCTTGATGTTGGTGTCACAAAGTGGGTGGGAGTGCATACCTGCCCAAAGGAGGGGGCAGACAAGGTGGGGCGGGGGCACAGGGGCAGGGGGCGGGATGCAGGGGCAAGGGGTGGGGTGCAGGGGCAGGGGGCAGGGCAGAGGGACGGGCTGCGGGGCCAGAGGGGCGGGGCACAGGGGCAGGGGGCGGGGCAGAGGGGCGGGGCACAGGGGCAGGGGGCGGGGCACAGGGGCGGGGCACAGGGGCAGGGGGCGGGGCGCAAGGCCAGAGGGGCGGGGCACAGGGGAAGGGGGTGGGGCACAAAGCGGGAGGGGTGGGGCTCAAGGGCAGGGGGCGGGGCACAAGGCTGGAGGGGTGGGGCTCAAGGGCAGGGGGCGGGGCAAAGGGTCCGGGGGCGGGGTGCAAGGGCGGGGCACATGACCAGAGGGGTGGGGCGAAGGGTCAGGGGGCGGGGCACAAGGCCGGAGGGGCGGGGCGCAGTGGCAGGGGGCGGGGCCAGAGGAGCAGGAGCCGAGGGCCCAGTCATTTCCAGGGCGTGGGTACCTTAGCCCGCATCTGCCACGCGCACGTGCACCTTCCACCGTGCACAGCAGTCAGCCTGTGTCCCCGGGCTCAGCGCAGTCGCTGGCGGGGGCTCTCAGGGCAGGATGACCCGGCTATTTGATGTGAAGCTGAGGAACCCCGAGGGGCTGCCTAGCTTCCTCAGAGACTCGCCCTTTCTCCCATGGGAAATGGGTCCCTGTGATGCTGTAGGAGACTGGGCCGCGCCTGGCAGTGCTCAGGACTTCCTCCTGCTCTGTGTTCAGGGGTCACTCGTGGATGAAGCTCAGGGGACCCTCTGTGGGTTAGGGGGAGCCTCCTGTCTGGCCACATGGAAGGCAGGCAAGTACTTTCTCTCTGGCTCCACCGGGCTGTGATTTGTTTGCTTTTTTGTTGTCGTTTTGCGCCATGCCTGGTGGTGCTCAGTGTTCACTCCTGGCTCTGCACTCGGGGTCTCTCCTGTTGGGGCTTGGGGGACCCCGGTGACGCCGGGGATTGAACCCAGGCCGGCTGCATGCCAGGCAAGCACCCTCCCTCTGCGCTGTCTCTCCAGCCCCCCTTTTTCTTCGTATTTCTTGATGTTTCTCAAAGTGGGTGGTTCTTTTCCCGGGGGTGGGAGGGGAGTGCCGGAACAGTCTAGGGGGGTCAGTAGTAGCTGCTGGAACAATCTAGAGGGTCAGTAGTAGCCTTGGGTGCCACTGTGGGGGTTGGGGTGCCTTCTGCTTGCTTCCTAAAGAAAGTGGGTTTTGTCTGAAAAGGAAGCAGTTGGGTTCCTTTGTTTGGGCGCCTCAGGCTGGCTCAGTGGAAACAAGAGTTCCAGGAGGCGGAGGATTCGGGTCTTTCATTCCTTGCTGATCTCCCCGGCTTGGCCATCCCCGGGCACGCGGTTCCTTCTGTTGTTCCCATTTCCGGAGTAGGGAAACGGGGTGTATCTGTTCCGAGTCTAGAGCTGAGAGTGGGCCAGAGTGGGGTGGGCCAGGGACCTCTCTTTAGAGGGCATTTGCCTGGTGTGAACCCAGCCCTGAACGCCCCAGTGCGGTCCTGTGTGACGGCTCTGTCTCCACGTCCCCAGGATGCCCCGCTGAGCCCGCGCCCGCCGTCCCCGCTGCCGACGTCCCCCGCTGCAGCTCCGTGGAAGGCAGCCCCTTCCGGCCCCCGTCACACTCCTTCTCCGCCGTCTTCGATGAGGACAAGCCCATAGCCAGCAGCGGCACCTACAACCTGGACTTCGACAGCATCGAGCTGGTGGATCACTTCCAGAGCGCAGAGTCGCGCACGTCGGACCCCAAGAGTCCGGAGTGCAAAGCCGGCGCGAGGCGGAAGTCTTCCGACTCGGTGCCCGTCGCCAAAGCCACCTTGTCCCGCTCACTCAGCCTGCAGGCCGGTGAGTTCGATGGTGCTTCTTGCTCAGATAGCGCCGAGACCCCGGCCCCAGAGGCCTCGAGCACCAGCAACGCGTCCAGCACCCTCAAGCGAACTAAAAAGCCCAGGCCACCTTCCTTAAAAAAGAAACCCGCCTCAAAGAAGCCCACGGACACGCCCCCGCTGAAGGAGACCCCACCGGGGCCAGCCGAAGAGCCCCTGGTCCCTGGGGAGGAGAGCTTGGCCCCCGAGGCGAACGTGGAGTCAGCCAAGACGGAAGATCCCGCACCAGCCTTTGCAGACGAGGCCGCCCTCGAACCCGCCGCCGTGCCCCCGGCCGCCTGCCCCCTGGACTCCGAGGGCCCCGACGAGGCCGGCCCGCCTCCTTCTGGAGGAGGCCGGGTGCAGAACTCGCCCCCCGTGGGCAGGAAGCTGCCACCTCCGGCCGCTGCTCCAGAGGCCGAGGCGGAGACCCCAGCAGAGAGTGGGGGTCCCGAGGACCCCCCGGCTAAAGGCCTCTCCGTGAGGCTGGAGTTTGACTATTCAGAGGACAAGGGGAGTTGGGACAGCCAACAGGAAAACCCCCCTCCTACCAAAAAGCTCGGCAAGAAGCCGGTTGCCAAAATGCCCCTGAGGAGGCCCAAGTTGAAGAAGCCTCCAGAGAAGGTGGACACGGCGGCCCCCGCCTCGCCCAGCCGCTCCCCCGCCGAGAAGGTGGACGCCGCGCCCCCCTCGCCCACCCCCGCCTCGCCCAGCGACATCCCCATGGCCAAAGGTACTTACACCTTTGACATCGACAAGTGGGACGACCCCAACTTTAACCCTTTCTCTTCCACCTCGAAAATGCAGGAGTCCCCCAAACTGCCCCAACAGTCCTATAGCTTTGCCCCTGACCCCTGTGAGGAGGCTGCGGACCCTCTGAAGCCACCCTCCAAGCCCCCCGGCTCGCCCTCGAAGACCCCGGCCTCCTTTGAGATCCCGGCGAGCGGTGGGGATGCCAATGGCGTGGACGGGGACGGGCTGAACAAGCCCGCCAAGAAGAAGAAGACGCCCCTGAAGACGTAAGTGCGGGGGTGCAGGGAGTGAGAGGGAGGTGGGCTGTGCGTCCCTCCCTCCCCTACCACGTCCCCGTCCTGGGTCTCATGCCTCCTGCCCGGGCCAGCCTGGGAGGCCTTCACCCCGCCGTGGCTGTCGTGTGGGCACGCCGGGCACCCCCGCCTGCCTCTCTGTGCCCCTGGGGTGCCGCTTCCCTACCCCCCTCTCCCTTCGTCTTTTGCCTCAATGAGTCCATGGTCTGAGTCAGTGTTTCCCAGCTGTTTCCTACTGCCTGGCGTTCCCAGTTGCACGCTTAATCATTTCCGTGATTTTTTTGTTTTTTCACCCATCTATCGCAGGGTGTTGTCCCTGGGGAGGGACAACAGGGACCCCCAGTGGGCAAACGCCGGTGTCTCTCCTTCCGGACGTGCACTGGCAGAGTCTGGGGTGCCCCGTGGCAGGGCTAGAGGCCTCTGGGGTGCCCCCCCTCACTCTCGCTGGCCTTTTAGGCTGGCCCAGGAGCCAGGAGGAGCCCCTATAAGGTGGAATTTGTTTCTGTGCCTCCATGGGACATTGGTCCAGGCGACGTGGGCTCTACTCGGGAGGGGCTATCTGGTGCAGGGATCTGTCTCCCTGCTACCCAGCCACCCCGAGGAACATGCCCTTCAGCTCCGGCCCTTTCTCTGGTAGCCTTTGCCCCTGTTGAGTCCAGCCCCGCCCAAGTCCCACTGGTTGGTCACCGGGTCTGTGGGTTGTTGTCAAGCTCAGGGCCTTGGCGCCTACCTGCCCACCCTGCCAGGACCCAGCCTCAGGGCCCGCAGGACCTGTCAGGACCAGGAGACATGTGCTCTGGGGTCTTCCACTCGCTCTCATGTCAAACACAATCAAGAACCGATCAAGGCTTTGTGGACCCTTGTGGGCTTGGGGGTGACCCAGCGAAACCAGGCTGCAGGGGACCCCCAAGTCAACAGGATGAGGAGGACCCACTCCTGCCCACTCTGGTCTCCCCGAGTGCATCCGTGAGAGTGTCCAGGAAGAGGGTCTTCGTGCCTGGCTTTGGCCCTGCCGCAGTTGGGGGGTTGTGGAGGATGTGCAGTGAACAGTCCTGGGCCAGCGTGCAGATGGACGTCAGCCTTTCAAGACATCTCGTTCCACCCCTCACTCCAACCCCCCAGACAGCTGCTTCTCTCCTGTCCCAGATGGCACAGGGTGGTGGGGGGACCCCTGATTCTCGGTCTCACCCATAGCACAGGTGGTGGGTGGCCTGGCGTGGCCATGCTGCAGGGCACAGCTGGGACCCGGGTCCGAGAAGAGAGGCGGTTCTCTGACCCACGACCCGCCCCCCCCCCAGGATGGGGAGCCCTGTAGTCGGCGGGTCGGCAGACTTATCTTTTTGTCAGTTCCTTCTGTCTGTCTCCCTTTTTTCTTTGTCTTCCTGTCTCAGGATGGTTGAAGATGTGATGTCTGTCTGTTCTCTGTTGTAAGTAAATCCGCGCTCCTGCCTCTCCCGCTCCGTGTGCTTCGCCCGCCGTGGCTTCTGCGTCCCACGCTTCGCACCCGCTTCCTTCCTCTCCGTGGCTGCAGCTTGCCTGTGAATGTGGGGGGCTGTGAATGCCGGGGTTCGGGGCACCCCTGTGTCGTGGATATTAGTAGGAGTCCAGCTGCTCGGGGCCGGGGGCGGGGGGGAGGCCCCGTCACCCCGTGTCTGCCTGCTGGTCGGGAACGGGGTTCCTCTTCCCCATCACGTCCTCGGCCGTCTTCATCGAGGGGGCCCCACGGTTCGGGTTCGACTTGCACCCAGTCCTTTGTTTCTCACTTTCCACGGCACCGTGGCCTTGGGTGGAAGCCACCTGTGTTTCCCGGGGACCCTCCAGGGGTGGGAGCAGAGCAGACCCTCTCCTGGCCTCCCTGGAGGGGGCCGCCCCCCCACCCCCAGGATGGACATTTTCTTTGCCTCCTGGTACTTTCCGGGGACGTGGCACTCCGGGCCTCTCCCCTCCTGCTTGCAGTCGGAAGCTCGTGGCCGCATGGTGATGTGCATGGGTCAGCACGTGCTTCGAGCCCTTGGGATGCCGCCGCTGCCCTTGAACCCTGCCGCTGTCTGAGTTTTATTTGTGGGAAGCCTCGAGGGGACGTGGGCGCCAGACTGTCCTGCCCAGCCGGGACTGTTAGAGCAGGGCCGTGGGGGGTCTCAGGTCAGGGGAAGCCCTCGGCACAAGCCCTGATTTTTGTGGGCGCCCTCCCGCACGGGGTGTCAGGTCCGGGGTCTCTTTGGACAGATGTCCCCCTCCTCCGCCACCGCCAAGCACTTGGACAAAGGAGAAGGAAAGGGAAAATGGGCCGTGGACAGCGTGACTGTTCCCCGGGGGTAGGGAGAGATGAAAGAGACCCCTTCCTTCTTGGGACGAAGTCTGGACACAGGCCCATATGCCTGGCACCAAAGGGACATTTTAGGCCAGAGAGACAGTCCAGGGGTTAAGGCGCTTGCCTGGCATGCAGCCAGCCCTGGTTCAGTCCCCAGCACCGCATCTGATCCCCTGAGCCCCGCTGGTCGGGGACCCCCGAGCACAGAGGTAGGAGATAGTCCCAGAGCCCGGCCAGGCAAGGCCCACCCACCTCCCCTCCAAGAACATCCAATAAAAACCCTTCGATGGTGCGTTTCATGCTCCGTGCTTTGGGCTGTAGTTGGAAACTTCTCTCCCCGCCTGCTCTATCTGCAGCCTGCCTGGGTCGGGGTGGGGGATGCAGGACTCCTGGGGAGTTCAGGGCTCCTGCTCGGCAGTCTAGAACTTTCTCCCTGAGTCTGTGCGGCTCCTGCCACTGGTGGCGGCTGTGTCGGGGGTCGGGTCTAAGGGGGCCCTGTTCGCTGATCTCCGGAACCCGGATCCCCCCCTCCACTCCTCTCCTCGGTGGGTTTAGATCATCGTGGAGGAACCCGGACCCGTAGTCCACTCACCACCCAAACTCTGCTTTTAAAAATAAGACCATTCAGCTAAATTTATCCCTATTTTCTGGGTCAGCAGTCCCTAATGGCATCTGTGAAGACACCCTGCCTGGCCATGCTACCCCCCAGAGTGCCCGTGTGTGGCCGCGTGGCCGTCCCCTGGCTGGGGCTGGAGTGGCGTGGACCGGAAGAGGGCATCCGGGACGGGGACCCAGCAGGGGCGGGAGCCGCAGGCTACTCTGGCAGGTTCTGGAATATTCTTTGCCTGTTGGTTATGTTCACACTTTGCATTTTGTTTCCAGTGACACATTTAGGGTGAAAAAGTCGCCGAAACGGTCTCCTCTGTCTGACTCGCCTTCTCAGGTATGGCGCCGCCCTGTCTTGATCCCTCCCCTCCCCGGGCTTGGGGGGCTATCTGAGGGTGGTCCTCTCTGCTCATTGCTGGTGCTGGCCCATCTTCACCTTCCTCCACCCACGAAGGCCCTCCCAGTGCTGGCAACGCTCGGCGGGGGTCCTCTCCCCTGGGGGAGAACACTGTGTCCCACAAGGTCAGCATGAGGACAGGCTGTGGGCTCAGTGGCGGGAGGGGCAGGGCCTGGCGTTGCCCTGTTATGTGCCCCCCCAACCACACACACACACACACACACACACACACACACGCACACACACACCCCACAGATGCCGGCCCATTGGGGCCCAGCATGCAGACTCAGCTCTTGCCACTGGCAAGGGCTGCGGAGAAGGGTCCCATCCTCCCGGCCCAGCCCAAACAGCCTCTCGGGGGGCACCTCTGCTCTGGGTCCCCAGGACAGGCTGAAGGCGTGTGAACTGCTGCTAATGGCGTGGAGCCCGCCTGAAGCTTGTGGCAGGGGGCCGTGGAAGGTCTTGTGGGTCAGCCTTGTCGTTTCTCTCAAACAAAATGGGCAGGTGTGTCTTAAAATAACCAAAGGCACCACATTCTGATTGATTGATTTTTTTGTTTGTTTGCTTTTTTTTTTTTTTTTTTTTTTTTTTTTTGGTTTTTGGATCATACCTGGTGATGTTCAGGGCTTACTCCTGGGGCTCTGCACTCAGGAATCACTCCTGGCAGTGCTTGGGGACCATATGGGATGCCGGGGATCGAACCTGGGTCGGCCACATGCAAGGCAAACACCCTCCTTGCTGTACTATCTCTCTGGTCCCTTTTTTTTAAATCTTGGAGCCTCACCCAGGGTGCATGGGGTTCTCTCCCAACAGTGCTCCAGGGACCCAGTAGTGCCGGGGCTCAGACCTGGGGCTCCGACATGCCCGGCTTGTGTTCCAGCCCTAGCTCCATCTCCCTAGCTCGATTTTCCCCCCTAAGCCCGTGATGACCCCCTTGAGCAAACCAGCAGAGAAGGATCTTCCCAGGTGGGGCTATCAGGACCAGGCTGTGTTTCCTGGGGTCCACTTTGAGTCACGTCAGTGGGTTTGTGCTTGTCTTGGTGACTGCGGCCCGGAGGAGGAGGAGGGTGAGAAGAGAGACCAGTTCCCTTGTCCTCGCAGGACCCCACGCCAGCGGGCACCCCAGAAGCACCCCCCGTCATCTCTGCGGTGGTCCACGCCACCGACGAGGAGAAGTTAGCCGTCACCCACCAGAAGTGGACGTGCGTGACGGTGGAGCTGGACGCAGACAAGCAGGACTACCCGCAGCCCTCGGACCTGTCCACGTTTGTGAACGAGACCAAGTTCGAATCCCCCTCGGAGGGTAAGCACCGCCGCGGCTGGCCCGGCCCGGCCCCGGCCCCGGAGGGCACCGCTAGGGAGCCACAGGCCCGGAGAGGCCCCACCCAGTCAGGTAACCAGCTGGGGCTGCAGCCTCGGTGCTCGGCATGCGCACTGCTTGTGCTCACAGCCAAGACCCCCAGCCTGCTCCACGCCTGCCGGGCCTGCACTGCCCCCCCGGACCCCCCACGATCACCCCAGCTCTGCTTTTAGGCAGCTGTGCCTTGTCCCTTGGTGAGTGGACGGGCACAGCCCCATGTGAGTAGAAGCTCGGTTAACTGGGACCTCCCAGGCGACCGTCGTTCAGTGCTCCCACAGTCTGACCCCAACCCCCCCCCCAGGCCCCCTGACGGGCTCGTGGGGGCCCCACCCGCACTCGCTCTGTCTAGCTCCCTCCTGTGGGTTCAGTCTCAGGCCTGTGGTCATAGACCAGGACTGGGTACTCAGGCTTGCTGCCACTCAATCCGTCCATGGGAGGATACCTCTGTGCCAGGCACCACGTCCCTCTCCCACTAGGGGAGTAGAGGGGAGAAGCAGGGCCTTTCCTGCGGGAGGATTAACCCAGGACCCTGGCTCTGGTGGTCCCGGCCCCGCCATCCCCACCCCGGAGACCTCTAACCCGATCCCGGCCCTCCTCCTGCACTCGGGGTGCCTCTGGGGGCTCCCAGTTTCTCCCTGAAAGGTGTTGCTCCAAACAATCGCAGGAAAGAAAGTGGCGGACTGGAGCGATAGTACAGGGGGTAGGGCATTAGCCTTCCACACAGCCGGTGGCTGACCCGGGTTCAATCCCATATGGTCCCCTAAGCACCACCAGGAGTGATTCCTGAGTGAAGAGCCAGGAGTAACCCCTGAGCATCACCAGGTGTGACCCAGAAAAAAGAAAGAAAGAAAGAAAGAAAGAAAGAAAGAAAGAAAGGGAGAAAGGGAGAAAAGGAAAGAGATCAGGAGGCCAGGACAATCCCCTGTGCATTCTGGAGCTCTGGACTGCGGTGAAGGACCTCCGCCCTCACCCACACCAGCTGAGTGCCCAGTGCTGTGAACCCCTGGGGTGTAGGGAGATTCTGGGTATGTCCCCTGCAGGCCCCCCGTCAGCCCTGGCTTCGCAGCCAGCTTATCTCTATGTTGTCTCTGAAGAATCCCCGTGAGTCCAGCTCCTCTGTGGCATCTCAGGGGCCTTTTCTTCCCCCCGCGCTGCCCGTCCACAGTTTGAACGGGAAGTGGGAATTCAGTTCCCACCTACTGGCCCTCTGGGCCACAGTCTCTGCGGTGGGGCCTTGATTTGGCTCCAGCCTGGCCTGCTCGATTGTGGGAGACGTCACGGTGACCTTCCACTCTGGAGTGGCCCCAGGCATCCCCAGGCTCCAGGCTCCACCCCGAAGTCCTCTCCTCTACACACTCCCCCTGGGCACAGGGCCCAATGGCCACCCTCCCACTCAGCTGCCCTGCAGCGGGGCTAAGTTGGCACCGCCCACCTCCACCTGCCCTAGGCCTCCGCTCGGCTCTGCCATCCCTTGTGCTTGGGCTGGGCCACTTTGAGGCCACTGACCACCGTCATGGTGACATGAACTCCATCCGTGTCCTCTTTGCATCCCTGAACACAGTGGGGACTGAGTAGGACAGTGAGAGAAGGGAAATCCAGGCCAGGCGGCCAGTGGCTTCGTGGCAAGCCTGTCATCGAAACTTGGCAGACGGGTACATGGGCGGGAAGGAGGGTCCCACGGGCAGCCCCAGCCAGTGAGCACATACCGTGGATTGGTGGTTTGGAGGTACCCACTGTTTCCTGCAGTCCCTGTCTCTGGGGGCTTCCTCAAAACTTTCCTCATGTCAGACAGAGATGTTCAGGAACCAGCCAAGGGCCTCTGGAGAGAGTTCAGTGGGCCGGACACTTGCTTTGCTTGCAGGAGGTCCGGGTTTGAGCCCCAGTTTCAGATGGCCTCCCAACACAGCTGAGAGAGCACCACCAGTGTGGGCCCCTAATAATAATAATAATAATAATGATGATGATGATGATAACTAACAATAGAATTAACATGGAGCCAGAAAGCTCATTCAGCTGGCTGAGCACATTTGTTACATGAAGGATGTCAGGTCCCAAGGCTGTCCCCAAGCAGAGCCCAGAGTGACCCCCCAAACAAATTAAAAACCGAACAGAAGCTCACTTGCGTGTAGCTTCATGGATGAGCCTCAAAAGGCACATGATGGACTCTGTGTGTGTGTGTGTGTGTGTGTGTGTGTGTTTGGTTTTGTGGTCAGGAATGAATACATGCGTCATTTCATAGATAACAGGCAAACAGGCCTCGTTCCAACCTCGCTATCTTCTGTGGAGCTGAAACAGGCCACTCGGGACTTAATTGGTGACGGATTGTTTTTGGTTCAAGCCGACAAAGAGGCAGCTCTGCCCATCTGGAACTCAGACGCGTCTAAAAAACCAGCCCTTGACGATGCAAGTGTGAATTGTGGGAAGGCTGACCGGGAAGGGTGTGGAGACCAGGTGTGGGGACCCTCGAGGCACTGGCCTGTGTCCTCTGAGCCACCTGCTTTCCTGCCAGCACCGAATGGTGCCAGGGATCGAACCCAAGTCACTCAAGGCGAAGTCTTGTCCCCTGACTCTCTCTCCAGCCCCCGCGCATGCTTCTTAGCTTGTTTGCCGCATCCTGAGTGTTCTCTGCCCTGTCCCCCCCCCCCCCGCCCCCCCTGGAGCATGTGGGAACCTTCTGTGGAAACTTGAGCTTTTTGTTTGTTTGGGGCTCACACCTGGTGGAACTCGGGGACTCCCCATCAGTGCTCGGGGGACCATGTGCTGGAGATCAGGCCTGGGGCTCCCGCATGAAAAGCATGTGCTCCAGTCCTTGAAGCCTCTCCCCATCCTGAGAATCATTTGGCTTAAGTAAGACCTTGGCAGTGACATCTCAGAGCAGGAGCTGACTTGTCCTCATTTTTCTCAACTTGGCCCGTGACATGGAACAGCCAAACACTCACCCTGGCTCTCAGAGCTCGTCCGGGAGCGAACTGGACGCGGCTCTTGAAATAGTCCAGTCCTGTTCCCCGCCTGCTGCTTCCTTGTTTGTGGACCGAGGAGAACATTCCATCTCTATAAACAAGTGCTAAGTTGGGGCGGACCGGCCCGTCTCCAGCTCGCTCACGCCGGCAGAACATCGCCTCTGGGGCATGTGAGGTCCCTCTATTACTAATAGTCCTGGCAACCCCCCTCTTTTCTTGAGGGCTTCGGGCCCACGAGAGTGTGGTGTCACCCAGGGTCGCCCGAGAAGGTGGTCAGCCGTGGGACCTCATGCTAGAGGTCAGGGAGAGAATCCTTTCAAAGGGATGTCAACACATGAAATAGAAGGCCTTGAAGTCAGGTTCCTGCTAGTTCCGTGATTCTTTTCATTGGGGGCCTCCGCCAGGGTTGCTGGGAGCCCGTGGACCGTGTCCAATGCTGGGTGGGCCAGGCTGTGCCGATGATCATATGGCTTGTGCTCCGGCCGTGGGTGCTGTCTCCATTGCCCAGATGGAACCGTTGGAACTTTTGTTTTCAGAACTGGAGGTTGAACCCAGGCTCTTGCATGCTGAACCACACCTCTCGCTTCTTTACATTATTTTTCTGTTAAAACACACACACACACACACACACACACACACACACACACACACACACACACACACACATAAGGCTCGGGCTGGATAACTAATACAGGGGTTTAAGGTGCTGGTCCTAGATGCAGAACCTACCAGGCCTCACTTCTGAGCACAGAGCCAGGCATAGCCACTGAGCGCCACCATGTGTGGCCGGAACCTCCCTCCAATAAAATAAAATAAAACGAAAGACATCAGGTTTCAGGATTGCCACGGACCATCTGACAGAGCTGGCTGCCGAGGAGGTGACCTGTCACCCCTCAGTTCTCCTTAACGGGAAACAAGCCGCTGGTGTCTGCAGGAGTGGGTGACTGCCAGGCTCAGCCCTGTCGGGCCGCCTGAACCTCCCGCCCTGTCTGGGGTGCCAGCACTACTGGACGCTCCTGCTAGATGCCCAGGACCCGCGCCCTGGACCGGGAGCTCAGCTGATTGCTGGGGCTTCCTCCCCTGGGGCAGATGCTGGTTTCCCTGGGGAGAGTGTCCAGTGTTTCCTTTGCAGTGGGACGTCTGTTTGAAATGGGCCATTCTGGGGCTGAAGCAATAGCACAGCAGGTAGGCGCTTGCCTTGCATGCAGTCGACCTGGGTTCGATTCCCAGCATCCCCTGTGGTCCCTTGAGCACCACCAGGAGTAATTCCTGAGTGTAGAGCCAGGAGTAACCCCTGTGCATCGCCGAGTGTGACCCCAAAAACGCACTTACTGCATTGTCCTCCCGTTGTTCATCGATTTGCTCGAGCGGGCCCAGTAACGTCTCCATTCTGAGACTTGTTGTTACTGTGTTTGGCATATCGAATACGTCACAGGTAGCTTGCCGGGCTCTGCTGTGTGGGCGAGATACTCTTGGTAGCTTGCCGGGCTCTCCAAGAGGGGCAGAGGAATCGAACCTGGCTTGGCCGGGCTGGCAGCTTGCAAGGCAAATGCCCTACCACTGTGCTATCGCTCCAGCCCAAAAAAGGCAAAAAAAAAAAAAAAAAAAGGAAGAAGAAATGAGAAATGGGCCATTCCTCCACCTGGCTGGTACTGTAACAGTCTCAGCATCTGAAGCTGGCAGCACTCGGGAAATGCACTGAATGGCACATGGGTTCTGCAGGAGCAGGCTTTGTCCTTCCCTGGAGGCAGGGAATGGAGAGGCCTTGTCAGAGAAGCCAGTGGTGCATCCAGCTCCCAGTGTCCATGGGACGTGGCAAGATCCCATGAGGTGTACGTGAGATGGCCAGAGAAGAACAGCCCCATGCACATGCCACGCAGATACATGTCACATGAATACTGTCACAGACATCCCTTCATGCCAGATGTGCTGGTGCATGAACACACACGCACGCACGCACGCATGCTGGTCCACAGGCTCATGCAGAAGGCACAGGTCTGGGCCCACTTCCGTGACATTCTGTGGCGTTGTTCCTCCTTCCAGATGGCAGGAGCCCCTGGGTCACAAGAGGTTGACCAGATGTCTAAAAATAGCTGGGTGGAGTCTCCGTTCTTGCCTGGATGGGAGGTCTCCAATCAGGGGACATTCTCCACCACCCTAGCGCCTTGTCCCGGCCCCACCCTGCCCAGCCCAAACTTTCCCGCTGCCTTGCTGACCTGACCTCCCCCTTGGCTTCCTTTGCAGAGCTGGATTACAGAAACTCCTACGAAATTGAATACATGGAGAAAATCGGCTCCTCCTTACCTGTAAGTGCCTTTGCCTCCACCCTACAGCAGGCGGGTGGGCTGGCGGGCTTCCCCCCCCCCACACTCCCCCGGCCTCCTGGGAACTCAAACCCCCGGCCAGGCTCCTCAGGGCCCACCTCAACTGTGCAGTGCGTGGGGGCGGGGAGAGATGGGGGCGGGCTGAGCTCACGTGGCTGGTTTGGGGGAGAAGGAAGTCTATGCGGTCTGACTCCCGCAGAATCCCTTCTGTGCACTGAGACCATCAGAGGTTGCTCTGGGAAAGGTGGGGCATGGCAGTTGGGCTGTTTTTAAGGCCACTGTGACCTGTTTTCTGCTTCCTTCCGGTTCCCTGCTTGGGTGAGTTGAGTGGTGGACAAGCAGCCTGTCCCCACCTTTTTCATTTCCTTGATTTTTTTTTTTTTGGCGGGGTAGCCACTCTGAAGCCATAACCGGGAGCCCCTGCTGCACCCCTGGTGAGTCTCAGATAACTGGGCTGGAGGTTCCGTGCAAAGGCCCAGGGGTGCCGCAGTGCTGAGGCTTCCAGTGCTGCCTGGGAGGGCACGTGACCCTGGGAATTGAGCCCGCTGGGCACATACCATGTACTCTGACTGCCACAGCCGTGGACACATGAGGCATGTGCCCTACACAGAGCGCCGCCCGCCGCCCAGACCCCCCCCCCCACTTCACTCTAAGTAGTTTGGTGGGCAGCGACCCCGCTGGCTTGGTGGCATTTGGTTCTGCACAGGGCCCCACACTGTCCCGTGGCTCCACTGCGGGTGGGTGAGGACACACAGCGATACCAGCATGCTGCTCTGACCCGTGTCCCTCTCCGGGAGCTGCCACTCCTGTGTCGCCGCGGGTCTGTGGGGCTCCGTGGCTGGTCCACGTGCCCGGCTGCGCCAGTCCCAGCCTGAGAAAGTGGGCACCGCAGCTGCACAGTCCTGTCCTCCGTCCCCCGCAGTGCTCACGGGCGTGGCTGTCCCCTCTGCTGCCAGAGCTGGAGCCAGACGCCACCATCCCCAGGCTGCTTTTCCTCCCGGGAGCGCTCTGGGGTTCACGTGTCACGGCCACACTGACGCGTCCCTTTGCTCTCGCAGCAGGACGATGACGCCCCCAAGAAGCAGGCCTTGTACCTTATGTTCGACGCGTCTCAGGAGAGCCTGGTCAAGCCCCCCGCTGTGCGGATGTCGGAGCCCCCTACGCCGTGCTCAGGGTAAGTCGGCCGGGAGGTACCAGCCCCGGAGCGGACAGGTGGGACGCCTGTCCCGGCCCCTGGGCTCTGCTGTCCTGCTCCCCCATGCCAGCTGCATGTGTGAGCCCTGCCGATGGCCCCCAGCGCACACAGTTTGTCATTTGTCCCATGGAATACCTCGTGTGCAGCCTCGAGACCCTGGCTTGCACCTCCAGCCTGTGGCAGTGTGGCCTGTTGAGGTTTCCTGGTGCCCTGGGGTGGCAGCTTCCTGTGTGAAAATGCAAGAGCAATAACCCAAGCAATGACCCAAAAGGATTTACCAAGGCTCTTGGTCTCCCCATCTGAGTGGTGGACTTGGGGTCCCTGTGCCCAGAAGGTCTTGGCACATAGTACGGGGCTGCTGTGACCACAGCTTTGTCACAGGCCCTGGGGTACGGAAAGTGCCCGGGGACAGGCTTTCTATGTACACAAGAGCCAGTATTTATCCGGGCCATGTTCTGAGCTGAGCGGTGCCAGATTGGGCAGGCTGGGGGGTAGGGGGTCTCCGTTGCTCTCAGCTTGGGACAGGCTCACCCGCTCGCCCCTGCCTCCTCCCGCTTTGACTGCCCCCACCCCCCCACCCAGGGATGGTGGTGAGGACGGTGATGATGGCTAAGATGATGCTGATGCTGATGGTGATGGTGGTGGTCGTCGTCGTCATGGTATGGGGGAAGATAATGACGGGGATGGTGGGATGCTAGTGACGATCCTGACGGTAATGGGCCTGGCAGTTGATAGCCGTGATGGTGCTGCTGGTGGTGAAGGTAGGGAAGCTCATAACCATGGCGATAGGGGATGACGGTGAGGATGCTGGCACCTGTGGTGATGGTGGAGATGGTGGAGCAGGAGCTGGTGATCACAGCCGTGACGATGGCAGCAGTGAGGATGCTAGTGGGGGTAGTGGTGACAGTGATACCAGGGAGGGAGATGGTGGAGGTGATGGTGGTGATGATGGTGACAGAAGGGTTGATGACAGTGATGATGGGGTTGCGAGGATGGAGATGTGCTGATGGGGATGGTGGTGCTGATGGGAACAGTGGCGCTAGTGGTGATGATGGTGATGGTGGTGATGGTGATGGTGATGGTGGTGTTGATGGGAGCGGTGGGGCTAGTGGCAGTGATGGAGTGGTGATGATGGTGGTGCTGATGGTGATGCTGATGGGAGCAGTGGCGCTAGTGGTGATGGTGGTGATGGGGATGGTGGTACTGATGGGAGCGGTGGGGCTAGTAGCAGTGATGGGAAGGGTAATGATAGTGATGATGGTGATGGTGGTGCTGATGAGAGCGGTGGGACTAGTGGCAGTGATGGGAAGGGTAATGATGGCGATGATGGTGATGGTGATGGTGGTGCTGATGGGAGCAGTGGCGCTAGTGGTGATGGTGGTGATGGGGATGGTGGTACTGATGGGAGCAGCGGGGCTAGTAGCAGTGATGGGAAGGGTAATGATGGTGATGGTGGTGATGATGGTGGTGCTGATGGGAGCAGTGGCGCTAGTGGTAATGATGGTGATGATAGTGATGGGGATGATGGTGCTGATGGGAGCGGTGGGGCTAGTGGCAGTGATGGAGTGGTGATGATGGTGATAATGGTGATGGTGATGGTGGTGCTGATGAGAGCGGTGGGGCTAGTGGCAGTGATGGGAAGAGTAATGATGGTGATGATGGTGATGGTGATGGTGGTGCTGATGGGAGCAGTGGCACTAGTGGTGATGATGGTGATGATGGGGATGGGGATGGTGGTGCTGATGGGAGCGGTGGGGCTAGTGGCAGGGATGGTCGATGATGGGAGTGGTGGTGGTGGGATGATGCTGGGAGTGGTGATGACGAGAGTGACACGTTAGGACAGTGAAGGTGGTGCCGTGTGCTAGGCGCCGTGTTGACAGCTGTACACGCAGACAACGCTGCCTTGGTCTTCAGAGGGGGCATTGCCATCTCCACTTCCAGGAAACACGGGGAGGCTGCGGCCAGCTCTCCCCTGGCACCCACCGCCCAGTGACTGACGCTGCTCATCTCGGGAATTGGTGCCCCTGAGCCACTGGCCCCTGCACCTCTGACCGCCCTTGTGGGCAGGCCCTGGGCTGAGCCTGGTGGTGTTCACGGTCTGTGAGAGCTGCCTCAGGAATGGGCCCTGGGCGTCCGGGCCTCCCTGGGCTTCTGGCCCTTCAGGGAACTCCTTTCTGAGAAGGCTCACGATGCCCGCTGCTTCCTCAGGTCCAGTTTTGAGGAGACGGAAGCGCTGGTGAACGCCGGGGCGAAGGTCCAGCAGCCGGTGGCCCGAGCGCTGGCCCCCGGGCAGGAGGCCCACCTGCAGGTGCCCGACAAGCCCTCCCAGAAGGAGCTGGAGGCCATGGCGCTGGGCGGCACCTCGGAGGCCATGGACACTGTAAGTGTGTATGTGTGTGTGTCGGGGGAGGGGGGTGAGAGCACTGGGCTGGGGCGTCCATCACAGCTGTCCTCCCCTGGAACCCGATGGGGTTTCTCACCCGACCCCCAAACCCAGGCCAGACCCAGACCCTGTGACTAGACGGCAAGAGGACTTGGACTCAGCCTGGCCAAGTCCTTTGATTGCCATCTGGGCTGTGTGATATGGGATTTGCAATGGTTTTGGGGTTACACCTGCAGTCTGCGCCCAGAGACGGGGTCCAGGTACCCTCCAGGTGAAGGTGATGGGCAGCGGGTCCCCTCTCCCTTCCCACCCCTGCTTCCCTCTGCACCCTTGATCTGAAGCGGGCCAACCTTCCGGCTGGTTTCCCTCCTGTTTCGTTTCCCTCCTGCCTGGCAGCCCCCAGAGGGCCCTGGTGGGGGTCAACGTGTGTCTCTGGCCCTTCCCGTTGCTCCTTCAGTGTCTCTGCAGCACCTGCAGGGGGACGGGCAGCTGGGTTTTGGATAAATGACAGCACCAGGGGTGTGGCGATGGCGGGACTCACGGCCTCTCTCCTACAAAGGGCCTGGGGCACCCCTGCATGGTGAAGAAGCCTTCTGAGCTACCTGAGTCCTGTTTTCACTTGAAACCATCCTTCCCTTGTTCAAGAAACAACCTTTCCCCAAACTGTCACTTCCTGTCCTATGTACCCCGAGAGGTATTTGATGGGTGGGCCCTGTTGGATCCCCGCCAATGTGCTGGTCTCCCACTCCCCAAGTCTTTCCCCCCCAAAAAATGAATATAAGGAGGAAAGTTTCTCCCACTCACTGCTGAAGGCACATGGGTGGGTGATTTGGGGGTCCGGGGGTTGGGGGGGATGGGCAGAAACTGTTCTTTGTGGGGAGGGGGCTGGCGTCTCAGGATGCCCATGGCCGTCAAACGGGCGGACGGAAGGGGTGGCACCTCCCTGATGCTCCCTTGAGTCGTAAGCCGGAACCCCGGGTCCTCGCCTGAACCTCTGTCTCTGTGCTCTTGTCTGTCTCTCCTGCACTTCCTGTGCCCTGCAGACCGCTCCCGAGGGCGCCTTTGCCTCTGCTGACGCCCTCCTCAGCAGGCTGGCCCACCCCGCCTCTCTCTGTGGCGCGCTTGACTATCTGGAACCCGACTTAGCAGAAAAGAACCCCCCAGTATTTGCCCAGAAACTGCAGGTTTGTAGCCTCCCCCTCTCCCTCCGCCACCTTTGGGGGATTTGTGGAAAGCCTCAGTCGAGAATGGAGCCCCGAACCCCAAACACGCAAGAGGGGAAGCCGGGCTTTATGCGGGACCACTGCATTAAAGATGCCCCGGAAGGCTCGGCCCTGCCCGCCGGCCTGGGTGCCCTCTGGATTTCAGATGACCAGCATGCGGGGGTTACACAGCGTGGGCATTTCGAGGTGGACCCCAAAAGCCATATATCGGCTTTCAGAGCTCCCCCAAGCAGTGATTTGAGCAGGGAACTGAGCACACTCTATCACCAGGGAGCCGCCTCTGTGCAGCGCCAGCGCTCACTGAGCCCTAGAGGGAACATCTGGACTTGGTTTGGCATCTGCCACCCAAACAACTGTCTGCTCTGAGCTTGAACACTGACAGCTGAGTTTGATGGCCTCCAGCTAGGAGCTTCAGAACCAAGCTAGCTGCGAGTCTGTCCTGGAGAGCGACACACCCGTCCTCGGCAGCAGCAGGCGGGGCCGGCCTCCCCTAGACAAACACAAGGCAGGGAATCAGAGGACAGCGCACAGGGGAAATGTTTCATCCCGTTAAAAACTGAAAGCCTAGGGCTGGAGCAATAGCACAGCGGGCAGGGCGTTTGCCTTGCACGCGGCCAACCCAGGTTCGATTTCCCAGCATCCCATATGGTCCCCTGAATTACCGCCAGGGGTAATTCCTGAGTGCAGAGCCCTGGAGTAACCCCTGTGCATCGCCAGGTGTGACCCCCCCTCCAAAAAAAAAAAGCAGAAAAAAGAAAAACCTGAAAGCCAAAAAACAGCACAGGATGTCGCCTGTTCACAACGTTCCCCAGGACAGTGACAAAGCAAAGCAAATGACGCCCTTCTTTCATGACCTGCTGGGTGCTGGGGGCTGGGGGCCGGGGGGCGGGCGGGGCACCCCAAGGGCCTGTCCTCACCCACTCCTGTCCCGCCACCGGCGCCCCATCCCAGGGCGTCTGCCCTGGGTCTGCCCCTGCTCCCCGCCCCAGGAGGAGCTAGAGTTTGCCGTCATGCGGATCGAAGCCCTGAAGCTGGCCCGGCAGATTGCCCTGGCCAACCGCGGCCGCCAGGACGCCCCCAAGGTACCGGTTTGCCGCTGCAATGATGCCGTGTGTGAGCCCAGCATAGCTTTGCTAACCACCAGCCGGGCGGGTGGGGGTGGGGGGGCGATCACCCGGAGTGGTTTTTCTAGAAAGCACAAAGGAGAGCACCGTGCTTGCAGCAACCGTGTCTCAGCACGTATCTGAGATCCCAGGACCTCGAGAAGGCGGGACCCCAGGCCAGGGATGCAGTGGGGGTGGAGGAGAGGAAACGGGGGGTTGGGGGGGCTTAGAGCAGTCCCAGGTAGCGGGTGACAGTGTAGGGGCAGCCGGGCCAGCCACCCCTCCTCAGAGGTGACTCTTCCCTGCATAATTATTTGTTTCTTGGGGCTGGAGTGATAGCACAGCGGGTAGGGCGTTTGCCTTGCGCGCGGCCGACCCGGGTTCGGTTCTCAGCATCTCATATGGTCCCCTGAGCACCGCCAGGAGTAACTCCTGAGTGCAGAGCCAGGAATAAGCCCTGAGTGTTGCTGGGTGTGACCCAAAAAGCAAAAAATAAATAAATAAAAATTAAAATTATTTGTTTCTTGACCCAAATGGGGAATGTTCCTGCAGAACCTTTTTTTTTTTTCATTAAAAAAGAAATGTCAAGGGGCTGGAGCGATAGCACGACAGGTAGGGCGTTTGCCTTGCATGCGGCCAACCCGGGTTCAATTCCCAGCATCCCATATGGCCCCCTGAGCACTGCCAGGGATAATTCCTGAGTGCAGAGCCAGGAGTAACCCCTGAGCATCACCGAGTGTGACCCAAAAAGCAAAAAAAAAAAAAAAAAAAAAAGAAAGAAAAAATGTCAAAATCAGGGGCTCCTCCCCAGTGCCCTGCTGGTGACGTCCTTCCTGAACCCCACCCCCGAACCAGGCCACCCAGGGGACCCGGGGGAGCTGCTCAGACTGTACCCCAGCACTCCACACCTTTATGGCCCCCGCGTCTCCATCTATGAGCTGAAATAGTCAGTGTGGAGGGGTGCGGGACTGTGGCGGGGGCGCCGTGTGGGTAACTGGCCCTGATGGTGGCCCCCACCCCACAGTTGGGGAGTGGAAGGAACTGAGCTCCAGCAACGTGGTCTGGCAGGAATGGGCACACAACCTCACCTGGGCATCCCCTGGGCTCGTCTCTCCTGACAGGTCCTGGCAGGGGGCTCGGGGGTCTTCCATCCTTGCTGCGGGTTCCGGAGTTCATCTGCTGTCCCCGCCCCAGGCTTCCCCAGTACCAAAGGGGCAGCCCCCTTCCAGAGACATTTCCCCGGGAAAGAAGGGCGCCACCGCGGCGTCCAGACCGAGAGGGCACCCGCGGACTGTGGCCACAGCCTGCTCCCACTATGGTGTGATTTCCTGGGAAATTCTCTTTATAGGAAGCATTAAGTTGTAAGGACTTTACCCCCAGTCTCTCCCCCGCCCCCCTCCTTCTCTCTCTCTCTCCCTCCCTCTCTCTCTCTCTCTCTCTCTCTCTTTCTCTCTTTTCTCAGGGTCCACTCTGTGTTATGCTTTCGTTTGGGGGGCCACACTGGAGATGCTCAGGGCTTATTCCTGGCTCTGTGCTCAGGAGTTGCTCCAGCGGTGCTCAAGGGGACCACAGGGGATGCAGGGATGGGACCTGGGGCAGCCATTGCTAAGGCTGTATAGCCCTCCCGCTGGACTATCGCTCTGGCCCCTCGGAGCTCACTCTTGACGGGGCTTGGGGGGAGACCCTGTGCAGTACCAAGGGTCCAGCTTGGGTCCACCGTGTGCAAAGCCAATGCCTCGCCCCCGTGCTATCTCTCTGGCCCCTTGATTGATATCTCGACCGACTTGGGTCGTGTCTTACAGAGTGAGTCGCAGGGAGCTTGTCCCCTCGAGATGGGGATGTCTCTTCCAGGGGCATCTGCGGCCGGAATGAGTGGGCCCCTGCAGTGGAGGGGATGGAATCTGGAGCAGCAGTTCTCAGCTGGGGGCCACATGCCCCCCCCCCGTGGGCCTCAGGATAATCCAAGGGGCCCATGGGTGAACATTGCACCGGTAGGAAGTCAGCATGAGATGAGGGGTCAGCCCGTAGAATAGGGGGAAGACCCAGGATCAGAATGCGGTGGGAATAGGGCCACAGTCGCACAGCGGTCGAGAAGTGCAGGACTAGTGTGCTGGTGGATTTGGGGTCCCACCTGCACCCCCCGAGGGCAGGTCCGAGAGGGTCGGTGGCAGAGACTGGCCAGGAGTTGGCGCCTGTCCTCATTACAGGCAGCCCCGTGAGCTCATGGCCATGTCCCCTCCTCTCACAGGTGCCCAGAAGCCCCCAAGGTGACAGTTGAGGAGCGGTGAGGGGCGCTGTGGTCGTCACCAGCCACGGCAGCCGAGCTCATGCGTGCCTCCCAGGCAGGGGCCTCCGGTGGCGGCTGTGTCCCACCTGCCTTCCTCCCGGGTCCCTCGCGGAGAGAGCACTGTCACCCGTGTGGCTGGAGAGCGTTGAGTGAAGCCGGGATCTTACGTGGCCTAGTCCCCACCCATCCTGTCCCCATGCCCCTGGTCAGCCTCTCCTCTCCACTCGTGCCCAGCGTGGCCTCCGGGGACGGCTCCGTCCTCATCCCAGTCCTGTGGCCGTGGCGGGTGGCAGCAGGGTGAAGGCAGGGCCCCCGGCCCCTGGCTGCCAGGTGTGCCTGTGTGATGGGGCCACAGGGGCCCTGGGTCCTCGCTAGGACCACGGGTGCTGCATGGGGCCGAGACTTCAGGCCCTGGACCTAGGGGAGGGAGCTGTCATCGGAGGTCCACGTCGGAGGTCCATGTTATCTGTGAGGCCACTGTCCTGCCTTGGACTGTGTGGTTTGGGAGCTCTTCGGCCCCTCTGGAGGAGAGGTGTGGGGAATTGTGTGAGAGCAGCAAGATGTGGTCTGAGTCTGTCCTTAAACGAGCCGTAAGAGATGCACCCCTCGGTCTGGGTTGAGCAGGAGCTGGGCATGCAGCCGGGCGGTCCCTGAGGGATAGGGCCAGGCCGTGGGCCTCATGGGCCTGAGCAGGTGGCTGGAGGGCGGTGCCGGCGAGCCCGGGTGCCGAGCAGAGCCGCTTCCCCTTACTGGACACGCTTTCTCTCTCCTTTTCATGGTCCCTTCCTCGCTTGAGCAAGGACTCCCGTGGTTCTTGAGCCACTCAAGAACTTTGTATTTCTCGTCCACTCACTTCCTCCTGTGCTTCAGTCAGCTGGGGGGTTATTCGGGGTCAGGAACATCTTGTGAATGAATCTCTCTGTAACTCCACTTAAAAAAAAACAAACAACTGGAGGGAGAGGGAAGCCGGAGTGATAGAACAGCAGGCAGGGCGTTTGCCCTGCACATAGCCAACCCAGGTTCTATCCCCGGCATCCCTTATGGTCCCTCGAACACTGCCAGGGGTGATTGCCGAGTCAGGAGTAACCCCTGAGCATCACTGGGTGTGACCCAAAAAGCCAGAAAAAAAAATTTTTTTATACATCGAGAAGTTAGCTGGCCTCTCCTGGTCCTTCCCATTTTGAAATTGGTTCCTAATATTTTTTAAAGAATATATTATCTGGGGCTGGAGCAATAGCACAGCGGGTAGGGCGTTTGCCTTGCACGTGGCCAACCTGGGTTCGATTCCCAGCATCGTATAGGGTCCCCTGAGCCAGGAGTAATTCCTGAGTGCAGAGCCAGGAATAACCCCTATGCATTGCTGGGTGTGACCCAAAAAGCAAAAAAAAAAAAAAAAAGTATATTATCAGACAAATAAAGTGACAGGCCACTTTCCCCCACCCTCTTCAGAGTTTGACTCAATGAAATGTACCGTGAGTCTTGTTCTCTTGATGCAGTCCGAGAGGCCCCCCTGGGCCGAGCAGCACTTGGGTTCTGTCTCAGAGTGAGACCCCGTGGGGGTAGGGGTGGCTGCACCCCTCCATGGTCTGGAGGGGAACCTCTCTCCCCCGATGGTGGTCTTCAATTCTATGCCAGCACCCTGGCTGGAACAGGGGCTTCCTGGGAATGGGGCTGAGATGAGCGTGTCTCCCAGGCAACCTTTGGTGGAAGGGACCGTGCTCCCTTCTCAGGGGGGGGGGGATTTGGCCAGCAACAGACACTGGGGTCCGACTCCCCAATGAGCCCAGATGCTCAGGACCGGGCCCGGGTAGGGGACCACAGACGCTCCCTTGAGGACCTCCGCAGCATGTGTGCCACTAACTAGACCTAACTGGGAATTCTCCAGTCCTCTCCATGAGGCTCTGCTGGGGTTACTGAGCCGTCTCCCTGCTCAGGTTCCCTTTCTTGGGATCCGAGCGGGGAGACGCCTGGCCTCGTGCTTGCACAGAGAAATTCTGCTCATACGCCGGCACTTTCTGCCGCCCTGGTGCAGACTCTGGCTCTTGTGCTCTCTGCAGCGTGAAGAGACCCGAGGCCTTCCTCGAGTCTCTCCTCCTACTCGGCTGGGGTCCTGGGTTCCATCCCTCCCTCTAAATCGCCCTATAAGCAGCGTGCCCAGCGCCCATGTGGCCGGCAGCACCCCGCCAGGAGGCTGATGAGAGGGACTGTGAGCGGTTGGCGTGCTTTGCCGTAGTAGAGTAGACTCACCCTAACCCTGCATCCGCCGTGCACTGGGGAGGGCTGGGCGTCGTGTGGGGTACGGGGGGGGGCTCCCCGGTTCTCTTCTCCTTCCCGGGAGGCCCGAGTGTGCAGGCTTCCTCTAAACCAACGCCTGCGGGAGGCAGACGGGAAACCACGTTGAGGGTCTCACCCAAGATCAAAGATCATTACTGACCCAGTTTTCTCGTGGAGACAACGGGCTGCAGAACCCTCCGGAAGGCACATGAGCTCGCATCACACCACATCACAGATGCTGGCAATTGGCACTTCCCAGTTTCTTCACAGGCTCTGGGCCAGAGTTAGATGTCTCCTCCCTCCCTCCCCAGGCAGAAAATGATCTTGTGTGTGGTTCTCCGAGCACTGCCTGCCCCACGGGCTTCTGTTTGGGGAAGGGAGCTGATGGCTCGTGAGCGGGTTCTGGGCCGTGTGTGTGATAAACGGGCCGTCAGCAGGTAGCTGACACAAGGGAGTCTCGCTCCCCGGCCCTGCACAGTGACAGACCCCGCAGACGGCCAGCCCACCCCCCCCCCCACTGTCCCGTCCTTCCCCCCTCCCTTTCAGAGCCATCCACCCCGCCCTTCATTCAAGGGCACGTGTAGTCCTGGCTCGCGCCTGGATAGTAATGTCCCTGTTTTCTTCCTCATTAAAAATCGTTCCACAGAGGGAGGCTGCCCACCCCACAGATGTCTCCATCTCCAAAACGGCCTTGTACTCCCGCCTCGGAACTGCAGAGGTGGACAAGCCCGCGGGCCTTCTCTTCCCGCAGCCGGACCTGGACTCAGCGCTCCAGATGGCCAGGGCAGAGGTAGGCAGCCCCCCACTGGGATCTGCGGGCCTGCGGGTGATCTGGTCTCTGCTGCCTATATAGTGCTTCTACCCAGGCAGGCACACACTACTAGCCGTTTTGGCCACCGACCTCTGCCTGGGCAGGGAGAGGGACATTGGGTGTAGGAAAGTTTTAATTCCTCTCATCCTCCACGCCTCCTGACCTCACCTGTGACCTGTTAAGATCAGAAGCCCCTCACCTTGCCCTCTCTCTAATGCTAGATCCTAACCAAGGAGAGAGAGGTCTCTGAATGGAAGGAGAAATATGAAGAAAGCCGGCGGGAAGTGATGGAAATGAGGTCAGTGCAGGGAGTGATGTGCCTTAGGGAAGGGCTGGAGCTGGAGGAGGGGCGGGGCTGGGACTCAGGGGCGGGGCTAGAGCTCCAGGGGGCGGAGCTGGGGCTGAGGGGCGGGGCTGGTGCTGAGGGGTGGTTGGGAGGGAGGTGGGGCTGGCTCGGGCAGGGCTGGACCTCTGGGGACGGGGCTGGGGCTTAGCGGGCAGGGCTGGGGCTCAGGGACAGGTCAGGACTCCAGGGCTGGGGCTCCGGGGCGGGGCTTAGGGGCAGGGTTGAAGCTCTAGGGGCGGGGCTGGGACTCAGGGGCGGGGCCAAGGCTGGGGAGGGTGGGCTGGGCTTCGGGGCGGGGCTGGAACTCTGGGGGCGGGGCCAGGGCTGTGGGGTGGGGCTGGGCTCAGGGGCGGGGCTGGGACTCTGGGGATGGGGTTGGGGCTCAGGGACAGGCCAGGACTCCAGGGCTGGGGCTCCGGGGCGGGGCTTAGGGGCAGGGCTGAAGCTCTAGGGGCGGGGCTGGGACTCAGGGGCGGGGCCAAGGCTGGGGTGGGTGGGCGGGGCTCCGGGGCGGGGCTGGAACTCTGGGGGCGGGGCCAGGGCTGGGGGTGGGGCTGGGCTCTGGGGCGGGGCCAGGGCTGGGGGGTGGGGCTGGGGATCGGGGGCGGGGCCAGGGCTGGGGGGTGGGGCTGGGCTCAGGGGCGGGGCTGGGACTCTGGGGATGGGGTTGGGGCTCAGGGGCAGGCCAGGACTCCAGGGCTGGGGCTCAGAGGCGGGGCATAGGGGCAGGGCTGGAGCTCCAGGGGTGGGGCTGGAGTTTCAGGGGTGGGGCTGGAGCTGGGGCCCCAGGGTCCAGGCCCGGGCTGCCTGGACCTTAGTCAGTATCCTCTGAGTCTGGCATCTCTGTAACTTAAGGTCCATCTTTTCCTAAAAGTAGTGCCATTGAAACGAGCACGCGCGGTAGGAGCAATAGCAGAGCAGGTGGGGCACTTGCCTTGCATGTGGCCAACCCAGTTTCAGTTCCTGGCACCACTCAGGATCCCACAAGCCCTGCCTGGGTCCGGGGTGCAAGGAGGGGCTGTTTGAGCCCAGAAAGCACAGAACCCTTCGGTGTGAGGTTCGGGAAGAGCCGAGTGGGTTCAGCTTGACTTCACCCCTTCGAGTTCTCCAGGGAGGAGATTGTGAGTGTGAAGCCGTCAGCTCTGCTCACGCCTTTCTCCCCGTTCTCTCTCTCATCCTCACCCCAAGAGCCAGGGTCCGGGTGAAGGCACACTGTGCTCCCCCACCTCCCACGACAGAGCTGCTCCCAGCACCCAGGACTGTAGGGGAGAGGCAGGCCAGCTGCTGGGTCTCGGGAGAATAACCAGCAGCCCACGTCCTTGAGTGGTTCCTTCCAGAGCATGGCGTTGGCTCTGTACGGCTCTGTCTGTGATGTCTGTGGTGGCAGAGAGGATTTCTCACGGCCTCGTCCTGTGGGGCAGCAAATGTCTGGGCTTTTCTGCAGCTGTGGTTCTTAGAATGCTCTTCCCACAGGGAAGATGATTAAGCAGTGGCTCTGGGCCTGGAGCAATTTCAAATCAGTCACTGTGATGCATACGTATGGGGTTTTTTTTTAAATAAAATTCAGATAAAATATTATAGAGATCCAGGGAAAAATCAGGGAAGGCTTCCCTGGAGGAGACGCCATTGGACTCAGGCCTGGAGAAACGGACAGAGGATGAGAGAGGTCGGATTCCAGAGACACTAACAAAGTGGGCAGGAATGCAGGTGGGCCTGGAGTCCAGCACAAATAAGAGACCACCTTGACGGTCTCCTTGACGCCTGTGTTCGCAAGATGGCGGGAGGAAGGGAGGAAGGGGAAGAGGAGGCTTGGGCAGGGTGAGAAGGGCTGTGGGGGTGGGTGGAAGGTTGGGCCTGGGTCTTTCCTTAGTGCCCGGGGTGCTGTATACTAGGTCAATCCAACAGTTTTGTTTTTTGTTTTTTTTGGGTTTTTTGTTTGTTTGTTTTTTGGGTCACACCTGGCGATGCTCAGGGGTTCCTCCTGGCTCTGCACTCAGGAATCGCCTCTGGGACTATATCGCTTGAGGGACTATATGGGTTGCTGGGAATTGAACCCGGGGGGGTCGGCTGAGTGCAAGGCAAATGCCCTCCCCTCGGTGCTCTCGCTCCAGCCCCAGTCGAACAGGTTTGGGGCATGCAGGGAAGGGACTGAGATTGGGAGCTCCTCCAAGGGGGAGCTCCCTGGGACCCCATGAGACTTGACCTCTGGCGAGGCCAGCGCCCAGCACAGGCGCTGCCCAGGTGAAGACACGGCTCTGTGGTGGTGGTTTTAATGTGTTTACTCCTTTTGCAGGAAAATCGTGGCTGAGTATGAGAAGACAATCGCTCAGATGATCGGTGGGTGACCTGACTTTTGGGGGTTCCTAAAACAATGGGGAGGGTGGTGATGAGAGAGGACCAGATTGGGGGGCTCCTCTCAGGCCCCTCTTAGAGCAAGGGCCCTGTGAAGAGGGACCCCAACATAGCAGGATGGCCTCCCGGCATTCCCCGGGCCTGAGGAAGCCCTGACTCACTTCACCCTGGTGCCACCCGGAACCCGGGGCTGTCCACCTCACAGAGAAAGACATTGGGTTGGGTACTGGGATGTCGGGCTGTGAGGCAGCAAATCTCAAACTCGTAATTTAATTTAGACCCAAGTGACCTAATACTCCCCACCCCTATCCCTGGCGTTTCCAGGACAGTGTGAATGGGTGGGGGCGTGGTGGCCCTGAGCTGCTCCCCTGGGTCCTGGGTCCTTACACAGCTGGGCCCGAGAGTGCTCTGGGCTGGACGGCAGGGCCTGCAGCCCCGATTCAGGAGACAGAGCCGGAGGTTCCACGCCCGCCTTCACCCGAGGGGACAAAATTCAAAAGATGGGATTTCGATTCAAGGGGGAGACTTGTTTTATTTATCTGTGGGATGCCAGGTGGGGCCGTGCTGGGCGGGCCAGAGAGAGAAGTCAAAGGCTGTGGGTGTAGCCGGCCAGACTGGGTGCCCGCACTGGGGAGTACCCTGAGCGCCACACGAGTGAGTCCTGAGTACTGCCAGGGGTGGACCCCAGAACAAGTGCGGTGATCCCCTGTGCTTGAGGCCACGTGGAACTCTCGGCTCAGTGCTCAGTCTGAGGCCCTGAGGAGATGGTTAATGCTTTCAAGGGCGTCTCTGTTCCTCCTGGTGGACTGTCCGTCACAGGGGGTCTCCGGAGGCACCGGGAGCCTCGCTGAGTGGAGGAGAAACTGGGCCGGAGGTTCTTCTTCCCAGACACGGGGCTTGTCCCGTCAAGCCCCACCTGGTGAAACACCCCCCAGGTCTCCCGCGTTGCTTCTGGAACCTTCCTTCTGGGTCCTGGTCATGCATTTGCCTTTGTGCTGAGGGGGGGGCACTCAGGCAGCTACTGCTATGGGGGTCTTAGAACTCGGGGGCTCGGCGGAGGGAGCCTCTCACCTCTAAAACACTGGGAGAGAAGGGACCTGACCTCGCTCGCTGGTCCCCGAGGCTTGTCCGGTGGTGGCCGAATCTGGTTCTGCTGTCTGTTGGCGGGGTGAGGGCGGGGTTGGGGGAACCTACTCGAAAAACATTTTCCGCGATGGGCCACCCTGCAGAGCGGCGAGGGCCTGGCCCGAGGCCTTGAGGCCCTGGACCCCTCCAAGGTACCCCTCCCCCAACCCAGGTGCCCACCCCTGCCCCCCACCAGGGCGCTCAGCCTCAGAGCTCGCCTGTGCCCTATGGTCACACTCCAGAGTGGAATTGGGGGGTGCATTGCCCACCCCCATCCTGGCTCACTCCCCTGCACCCCGACTGGCCCCCGGGGCCACCTCCCTGCTTGTCCTCAGCCGCCACTGTGGTCGGGGTGAAGGTGCATTGATTTTGGAGGGGGGGTCCCTGTCCTTGCAGAGGGTGGGGTAGGGGCAGTGTTGGCTGTGGGCAGACAGCCCTGCTTGGGGCAGGTGGCAGGTCCTGGTGCCTGGGGACACCCCGTGTCCCCTCTGGAGTGTGTGTGGTCCCTGCACTCATACCCCACATCCGGCGGAGCTGAAACTCAGATCTGGGGGAGCTGGCAAGGCCGGGGGTCTGGAATAGGGGCCATGAATTCCCCAGTCTGCCCGCTCCGCTCCGCTTCGTGTCCTCAGTTTACCCCCCTGTCCACCGTTCACCCAAGGCAACCCCCACCCCCGCCCCTGGGGAAATAGCTGTCTCCCCCTCCCGTCCGTCCCCTGACCCCTTGTGGACTACCCAGAATCCAGAAGATTCTGCTTCTGAATTCAGGTTGTTGCGAGTGACAACCCCCCCTCCCCCCGCACCCCCCTTCCCCCCCGCTTCCCTAACAACTGCCTGATTCTCTGTTTTGCTTCCATTTTCCGTTGCTTCTTGTCCTTTGCTTGCAAAACCAAACAGGCCAGCCTGGTAAGTAAACGCTTTTCACCTCATTTGACTCCTGCTCTCTGCCACCCTTACTGGTTTGGTGGTGGTTGCTTTTCTGGTTTTTTTTGTTTTGTTTTGTTTCTTTGGGTATTTTTGCTGCATTCTTCCCTTCTTGCTTCAGTCCTGTGTTGCCTGCAAAAAAAAAAAAAAAAAAAAACCCACAAAAAGCCAGACATTCTGCTGGCGCTGGTTTTGATTTTGAATTCAGACCATCTTTGCTCTGGGGCTGATTTCCTGAGCTGAATAGCCGAGTTACAGTTGTAGTTTAGCAAAAATGATTCGAGAAGCATTCTTCTCTCCTCCGTCTCCTGGGAACTGGGAAATTCTATTTTTAAAAGGATTAGCCCGGGCAGAAAGGAGACCCAGACAGGGTCCGTCTCGGGTCTATCTAGGAAACGGGATGAACTTGCTGCTGATAAATGACTCTTTTTCCTGACGACTATAACACATGCAGGGCCAAGGACCACACCCAGCACGGGGGCTGGGAACTCCAGAAGCAGCACAAGTAGAAAGAATAAAACCAAGCTTGTAGTAACTTCTATAAATGATTTTTTTCTGATATAGCTCCATGCTTGAGGGCTCACCCGTGTAAAGCTCCAGTTCAGTCTTGACACCATCAGAAAAAGTTTTCAGGGAAAAAATATAATGGACTGGAGCGATAGCACAGCGGGTAGGGCGTTCGCCTTACACGCGGCCAACATGGCCGACCCGAGTTCGATTCCTCTGCCCCTCTCGGAGAGCCCGGCAAGCTACCGAGAGTATTCGATATGCCAGACACAGTAACAACAAAGTCTCCAATGGAGACGTTACTGGGCCCACTCGAGCAAATCGACGATCAACGGGAGGGCCTTTTACCTATAATGTATACATTCCTGCTAAAATATTTGAAACCTTTACTTAATGCTCATCTGGATTTCCTTGCCAGGGATTTTTTTCTATGATCAAAAAGTTGGATGTGTGTTTCATTGATAGTTGTGCTATTTCTACACATTAAGCATTAACCAACTGAAAAATTAAGTTGCACAAAATAAACCCGTGCTTCCCAGGGGGCCTTAGAGTGGGCTATCTTATAGCTGCCACTCGGGGTGTTGGTGACACTTTGGATAAGGGGTCCCCATACTGGACCCTTCCCCGGGGTCTCAGTTCCTCAACATTCTCCACCCACACGCCTTGGGATAAGAACCGTGACCACCTTTTCAGGGGACACACCTGATATGTGCAAACAGTGCCAAGTTCATGACCTTCGCAAGTCAGAGTTCAGGGGCTAGGATGATAGCACAGCAGGGAGGGCGTTTGCCTTGCCTGCGACCGACCCGGGTTCGATTCCCATCATCCCATATGGTCCCGAAGCACCGCCAGGAGTAATTCCTGAGTGCAGAGCCAGGAGTAACCCCTGAACATCACTGGGTGTGGCCCAAATAACCCAAACCAAACCCATAAAAACCAAGTTAGGGCTTGAGGGGGGGGATGTCAGTCCTCTGTCCCCCACCCCAGGGTGGGGGAGGCTGACGTGGCTTCATTCGGGTCAGCGGGTTCAGCGAGCAGGTCCCGACCCTCATGCAGTCTCCACTGTGGGGAGATGCGGCGGGGTCGCATTCTGCCCATTCGCTGGGTCAGACCGAACAGGCAGGCCGGCAGCCCGAGCCCGGCGCATGGACAAGGCCGCCCTGCCACCCCCCAGGACAGAAACCTGGGGGCCGCACCCTCAGTGATGTCACGGTGGGGAGGTGTGGGCGGGTGGCCTGGCCACTCTGACTCCATCTACTGCTGGGAGAGGGGGTTGGGGCTGGGGTCCCTGGGGTCCCTGGCCCTCCCCCCAGCAAAGCAGAGAGAACAAGGACAGCCCCGCCCGAGGAAGGTACTGCACTGTGTCCCGGACAGGGGAGGCTCTGGGGGGCTCTGACTGGGGGGAGGGTCCCACTTTGTGCTTCAGGGCCAGGGGGTTTCTGAGAAAAAAAAACCTCGACTGTGACCGTGGCCTTGTCCCCGCCAAGCTCTGTGCCATGGCAGCCGGCAGCCACCCACAGGGACCGGCCGAGGAAGGGCAGGTGTGCAAACACCCCTGGGGTCAGCAGGCGGGGACCCTTCTCCCCCAGAGCGTTGGGCAGATGAGATCAGGCGGTGCCAGGGGCCGGGGGCAGAGTCGGTCAAGCACCCGCAGCGGGCAGTGGGCAGGAGGAAGCGAGCGGGTCCTTCCCGGGACCCTCGGGGTCAGCGAGGCTGGCGGGGTGCAGCAGGGAGGGGATGCCATGAGGGGGGTGGACAGACAGCCCGCTCTCCTGAGCAGAGCCTACCCCAGACGCTCCGGCTGATGACAGCCGACCCCTTCTCTTGGGCACTGATGGTGGGTCTTGGGGTGCGGCAGGGTTGCGGGGTGTGTGGGGCAGGATTGGGGGAGAGGAGGGGCTCGGGGGTGGTGGGGGCCACCTTTGATGGCGCTGAGCTCTTGGGAGGTTTGCACGATGAAGAAATGTCTTTTTTTCTCTGCTGACTGGCTTATGGTCCTGGAGCAGAGCCCGGCCAGGTGAGGGCCTCTTGTTTCTGCAGTCTGATGCTTTCCCTTCGGAGATCTGTTTTCTGCCTATGCCAGGCGGTCACTGGGGCTGCCCAGTGGCGATTTTATTTATTTATTTATTTATTTGGGCTGGATCGATAGCATAGCAGGTAGGGCCGACCTGGGTTCGATTCCTCCGCCCCTCTTGGAGAGCCCGGCAAGTTACCGAGAGTATCCTGCCTGCACGGCAGAGCCTGGCAAGCTCCCGGTGACGTCTTTGATATGCCAAACACAGTAACAACAAGTCTCACAATGGAGATGTTACTGGTGCCCGCTTGAGCAAATCGATGAACAACAGGAGGACAGTGCTATTTATTTATTTGTTTGTTTGTTTGTTTGTTTATTTTTTTGCTTTTTGGGGTCACACCCAGTGATGCTCAGGGCTAACTCCGGGCTCTGCACTCAGGAATTACTCCTGGCGGTGCTCGGGGGACCCTTTGGGATGCCGGGGATCGGGGATCAAACCCAGTTCGGTCTCATGCAAGGGCAAATGCCCTCCCCTGCTGGACTTATCGCTCCGGCTCTGAGCGGCGATTTTTATGGGGATTTTAAGGACGTTCTAAGGGGGGGAAAAAAAAACCGTTCAGGGCAAACACTGGGTCCCTGCCAGGGTGTGTCCCTGGATCCACCATTCCCCAAACTGCCCGTGGGAGTGGGGACTCTGGGCGACCTCACGTGGCAACTGGGGTGTGTCTCTGTGTTCACAGCATTTTGGGTGTCGGGTGTAGCCGGCTCAGTCTTTCGAGAGCACGTTGGCGCCCGGGCGCTGGGTTCCACGGCGTTCTCCCTGTGTCTCCCCTAGAGGACGAGCAGCAGGAGAAGTCGGTGTCCCGGCAGACGGTGCAGCAGCTGGTTCTGGAGAAGGAGCAGGCGCTGGCCGACCTCAACTCCGTGGAGAAGTCCCTGGCCGACCTCTTCCGCAGATACGAGAAGATGAAGGAGGTCCTGGAGGGCTTCCGCAAGGTGGGTCTGCCGGAGACGGGGGCAGCGGGCGCAGGGGCCCAGGAGGAGCCGGAAGACTCGACGGTCCGAGGTCTCGGCCTCCAGGGGTTCTCCAGCCCCCACCTGTCCCCTGACATCCCGCCCTGCCTCCCACCCCTGGGCTCCCCCAGAATGAAGAGGTGCTGAAGAAGTGCGCCCAGGAGTACCTGTCGCGGGTGAAGAAGGAGGAGCAGCGCTACCAGGCCCTGAAGGTGCACGCCGAGGAGAAGCTGGACAGGCAAGTTGGCAGCCGCACCGGGTGCCCGGGGGTGTCCGCACCCAGCGAGGCTCAGGGGTCACTCCTGGCAGGCTCGGGGGACCACGTGGGGTGCCGGGGATGGAGTCCGGGTCAGCTGCGTGCCAGGCCAGCGCCTCCCTGCTCCCCTCTCTCCAGCCCCCCGGACACAAGCTCTGGTCCATATGGGCCGAGTTTCCGGGGTGCCAGCCATGGAGGGATTGGGGGGGGGCGCTGGCTGCAGGTTCTCGCGGGCTCTGGAGGGGCCGCGGTGAGTCTGACACGTCTCTCCTCTCAGGGCCAACGCCGAGATCGCTCAGGTCCGTGGCAAGGCCCAGCAGGAGCAGGCCGCCTACCAGGCCAGCCTGCGGAAGGAGCAGCTACGGGTGGACGCCCTGGAGAGGTCACTGGAGCAGAAGGTCAGCGGGCCAGGGCCAGCGCGGGGCGGGTCAGGGCCTCCGTGGAGAGGTCAGTGGGACTTCCAGCTGCCCTCGCTGGGCCTCGCACCCCACACTCACTCATCAGCCACTCACCACATCCTCTGGGGCCACATAGCGAGTTTGTGCTCAGTACCTGCTCCCAGCTCAGTGCTCAGGGGCTGCTCCCAGCTCAGTGCTCAGGACCTGCTCCCGGCTCAGTGCTCAGGGGCTGCTCCTACGGGTGCCCAGGGGACCGACCGTGTGGGCTAGAACTTAAGCCTCCTGCGTGCCGTCTGCACTCAGTCCACTGAGCCGTCCCTCCGGCCCCCAGACACGACCCATGCTTGAACCCGGGTCTCCTCCAGCCTGCTCACTGCAGGTTCCCCCCCGAGCAGAGACACTGGCTGATGTGGGCATGGCCCCCCGGGTGTCTGTGTGGCTGTCGTGGGGGGTGGGGGCTCACCCTAGTTTTCAGCCCGTGTGGGCCCCCGGCCCAGATGCGTCTCAGGGAGGAGGAACCTCCCTCAGACACGCACTCCCGTTCTGTGAGGTCCTCAGAGGCCTGATGTTGCTGGCAGCCTTTCCCTTGCCTTGGTGATGGGCGGGGGTGGGGGGGGGACCTTCACAGGCATGTGACTGCAGGAGGCCTCATTTCATACGTCACCCACATTTTAAGAATAAGGAAACCAGCATTCAGAGAGGTTGTGTGCCTTGCCCAAGGTCACACAGCAGGAGCTGTGGGATGAATATTTATTAATTTATTTATTTATTTTGTTTGAGGGCCACACCCAGCAGTGCTCAGGGGTTCCTCCTAACCCTGCAACCTCCTGGCAGTGCTCGGGGGGACCAGATGGGAGGCGGCAGACAGGGTGAATGTTTAGATGGTTTCGTTCCGCATCATTTTCCTCGCAAGCCCGAGGACCCCGTGAGCGGCTCAGTTTCCAGGCTCCAGCCGATTCCAGCGACCCCTCTTGTCGGTCTTTCTCCACAGAACAAAGAGATAGAAGAACTCACCAAGATCTGCGACGAGTTAATCGCCAAGATGGGCAAAAGCTAACTCTGGCGCCGGTTGTCGGGACTTGAGTGTCGGGCGGGCAGTGGGCACGCGGGCACCGCCCCGTCACCGGCCGCGGGCAGGCGCCCCCTCCGTACGTACTACTGTTCTTCTCTGCAGCCACCTGGCCGTGCCGGAGCTCGGACGCTGGTCCCGAGTTCGCGCCGGCGGTGTGCGTCTCCTGGGTCTCCTCAGAGCAGGCTGGCCGCAGGCTCCCTCGGGGAGAGGGCGTCCACGGGACGGGACACACATCGCCACTGGACCTTGCTTGCCCTTCGTCCACCAGTTCCCGGGCGAGAAGCTTCTGGATTTCATACCCACACGGACAGCCGGCACGGGGACTCTTGCCTTAAGGATTGTGCACTTGATCTGCATTTACTGATTTGTTAAAAAAAAAAAGAAAAGCGAACGCATGTTTCCAATAAAATTCTCTATTGTAAATAAATGTTTTTTCTTTGGATCTTGGCAATCAGTTGAGCTCTGGTTTGTTTTCTGGGAAGGGTTTTTTTTTTTTTTTTGGTAGGGGGAGGGGATTTTTTTTTTCTCTCGCCTTTGTTAGCCCCTATCAGATTTGGCCATTTTCACTTCTCTGTCCGCGTACATTTCTGGGTCTCGGGGTTTAAATAACATCTCTCTGGTGCCTGTGTTTGTAAACTGAAGCGAATGAGGACTATCAGCTTGCTGCTTAATAATTAAGGGGGAGGGTATTGAGTCAGCTAAGATTTTGTTTTTAAGAAGCCTCTGATGTTGGGGGTCAACTCCAGTCGCCGGAACTGGGGTCCAGGAAGAAGCAGGCTCTCTGCTCCCCTGAAACACTAGCCAGCCCCCCCAAAACAAAAAACAGGGGCAACGAGGAGCAGCTAGCAGTGGGAGGCAGGTGATTCCGCTGGGCTAGGACAGGGTTATATGCACACTCAGATTCTCCGCTGTTCCTTGCCTCCTCAGACCCACTGGGTGCAAGGGAGGCAGTGAAGTTGTCCAGGGAGGGGTTTCTCCATTTCCCAGAACCATCAACACAAACCACAAATGTTGTGTCTCCAAATCACCTGGTTCAAAATCAAAGCCGGCAGGTGCAGTGCCCAGGATGCTGCAGCGTGGCAGCAGAGGTGCCCAGATGTTGGGGTTCAAAGGCTCGAGGGTGCCTCTGCTGCTCAGATCACACCTTTCTCTCCAGGCCCGGGCCGGATCCTAGATGGTGCCACCTCCCCTTCCTGCAAAGACCTTCCCAAACGTGCTGCATGGGTAGAAGGCGGCAGCTGGTGTGAGTTTTGGTGGGGAGGGCAGGGGGAGAGGTCCCAGTGGATGCAAGCTTGGAAAGCACACTCAAACCCCCAAGGACCTTGGCTCCCAGCTTGGGTGTTGTGCTTGGGCACTGCAGCCTTGGGGATGGGGTAAGTAGGGTCTGGAGTCTCTCCAAATGCTCACAGGGTGGGTGATGCCACAAGAGAAAGTCCTCGCGTGCCCCTTGGGAAGATGCCCAGACTCTAGTCCATGTCCCTCACACCTCCCTAGGACCGTAAGACAGGCAGGGGGCAGATTCTCCAAGTGCCTGGCCCCCTGCCGCCCCACACAGGTGTCCTTGCCGCCTCTCTCCTCTGCTGAGTACTGACCTGATGGTTCCCACCTTCTGGAAGCTTTTCTCTTAGTGTTTAGCTGACGGTTTCCACGTCCGCTGAAGCCAGACTCACAGGGAAGGGGGGAAGCCTGGACTCCTCGAAGCAATGACTGCCCTCTGCCCGTGTTTTTATATTTATTTTCCCTGTGTTCTTCCCCCTTAGCGTGTGAAATAGGAGTCTATCTAAAGAGGAGGAATAGCGGCCAATGGAGGTGTTTGGTGTAATGTAACCTGGACCCATGTCCAAGCTGTCTGCAAGACTGCAGAGAGTCGGGACATCCCCGCCTGTTACTCTCGTGGGGCATCGGCATTCCTTGAACCCACCGCCGAAGACAGTGAATTCAGTCTCACAGAGCAGGTGCTGTGTCTGTGTGTGCCTGGTCTCAGGGAGCAGGTGCCATATCCGTGGATGCCACTAGGGGGCTCCCGAGGGCCGGGTCTTGTGGAGCAGGTGTCGTGTCTGTGGGTGCCACCAGGGAGCGCCCGAGGGCCAGGTCTCATAGAGCAGGTGTTGTGTCTGTGTGTGGGGGGGTGTCTCAGGGAGCAGGTGCCATACCCGTGGATGCCACTAGGGGGCTCCCAAGGGCCAGGTCTTGTGGAGCAGGTGTCGTGTCTGTGGGTGCCACCAGGGGACGCCCGAGGGCTGGGTCTCACGGGGCAGGTGTCGTGTCCTTGGTGGACACCAGGGGGCTCCCGAGGGCCGGTTCTTGTGGAGCAGGTGTCGTGTCTGTGGGTGCCACCAGGGGACGCCCGAGGGCTGGGTCTCATGGGGCAGGTGTCGTGTCCTTGGTGGACACCAGGGGGCTCCCGAGGGCCGGGTCTTGTGGAGCAGGTGTCGTGTCTGTGGGTGCCACCAGAGAGTGCCCGAGGGCCAGGTCTCATAGAGCAGGTGTTGTGTCTGGGGGGGGGGGGTGTCTCAGGGAGCAGGTGCCATACCCGTGGATGCCACTAGGGGGCTCCCAAGGGCCAGGTCTCAGGGAGCAGGCGTTGTGTCTATGTGTGCCAGGTCCCAAGGAGCAGGTGTCGTGTCCGTCGTGGCCACCAGGGGTCTCCCGAGGGCCGGGTCTCACGGGGCAGGTGTCGTGTCCTTGGTGGACACCAGGGGGCTCCCGAGGGCCGGGTCTTGTGGAGCAGGTGTCGTGTCTGTGGGTGCCACCAGAGAGTGCCCGAGGGCCAGGTCTCATAGAGCAGGTGTTGTGTCTGTGTGGGGGGGTGTCTCAGGGAGCAGGTGCCATACCCGTGGATGCCACTAGGGGGCTCCCAAGGGCCAGGTCTCAGGGAGCAGGTGTTGTGCCTATGTGTGCCAGGTCCCAGGGAGCAGGTGTCGTGTCCATCGTGGCCACCAGGGGGCATCCGAGGACCGGGTCTCACGTGGCAGGTGTCGTGTCCTTGGTGGACACCAGAGGGCGCCTGAGGGCCAGGTCTTACAGAGCAGGTGGCGTGTCTGTGTGTGCCGGGTCTCAGGGATCAGGTGCCATGCCCGTGGATGCCACTAGGGGGCTCCCAAGGGCCAGGTGTCAGGGAGCAGGTGTCATGTCCATCGTGGCCACCAGGGGACACCCGAGGACCGGGTCTCATGGAGCAGGCGTCGTGTCTGTGGGTGCCACCAGGGGGCGCCCGAGGGACAGGTCTCAGGGGGCAGGTGTCGTGTCCGTGGGTTCAGGACAAAGTAGTCCAAACCCTTTGCCGAAGACCTGGCGGAGGATCAGGCGGAGGATGCTACTCCGGAGACAGGATTCTGGGGGATTTGGAAGGTGCCGGGAACACGGAAGGGCAGGTGTGTCCATTTCTGCACAGACACTTGCTGCGTCGGGCCTGGGACACACACAGGCAAGACTGAGTGGAGCCCCTACGACCCGTGGGCGCCCCCAACCTGCACGCTCCACAGGTACTCGTGAGCTGCCCAGGGCTCTCTCTGCAACGGCAAGGTGGTGGGCGGGGTCTGCTGCACCCTATCACCGGGTCCGGCACCCGGAGCCTGCAGCACCCAGCTGGTCTGACCAGCTGCACTGTGTATCAGGAGTTGGGAGCCCAGGTCTGGGAGGAGGGGTGTGCAGTGCACTCTTTGGGGGGTGCTCAGTGCAGTGTTTGGGGGAGGGGTGCAGTGCACTTTGGGGGAGGATGCAGTGCACTGTTTGGAGAGAGGTGCAGTGCGCTGTTTGGGAGAAGGGTGCAGTGCACTGTGTGGGGGGAAGGGTGCACTGTGTGGACATTTCTAACACCCGAAGGAAGGCTGAGTACCCACTTTCTGGCTGATGTCTCAGAGGTGCCTGTCCTGGGCTCCCTCCTGCAGGTGAACCTGTGCTTGGGGCGATTCCCTGGACCCACCTCCTGATTGCTGTGGGGGCACCTTTCTAGCCCTGGGGAGGGGATCCCACCCACCCTGACCCCCACAAGAAGGCTCTGGCCCACCCACGGTTCTTGGTTCCTGAGAGGTTAACCCCCACGGCGCCCCCTAGCGCAGTCGAGCGGGAGGGCGCTGACCACCTCAGTCCCCGGCACCCGTCGGTTCCCGAGTCCCCCAGGACCGATTCCTGAGCACATCCGAAACAGTCTCAGCAGCGTCTGAAACGCCCCCCACCCCCTCGTCCATCAACAGATTACTGGGCCCAGCTGGACACTGACGAGCCTCCCCCCTGCCCCCCCCCCAACTAGCAGGGCCGGCATCAGGGCGAGGGCCACAGACCCCCCCAAGTGCTCATGTGAACTCAGGCAGAGACTCGGGGCTCAACCTCTCAGGGGCTCTTCTGGGGTCACTGGGGGGGCAGTGTGTGGAAAGAGTCCCCCATGAGGGCGGCCGGGAGGCGGAGGCACCACCCCTGCCCCTGGGAGCTGCCCCTTCCCGTGCCTGCCCCCCGCTGAGCTGTCACCCCGGGAACAGGAAGTGCCCGGAACCTTCCCAGGTTGCCATGCCAACACTTCCTCGCCAACTCCCCTGGCCGGGCAGAAGAGAAGGGCCCATGCCAGGCACACACTCCAGCCTCTGCCTCAGCCACTGACCAGCGCCTCACAGCCACCACTCGGGCCGTGTGCCGAGGGTCCTACCACACACGCACAGGAGTGAGGTCCAGCGGTATGTTCCTCGCTCGGGGCGGCGGTCCGAGAGACCCTCGGGGGGCTGTGAAGGACGGGGTGAGGGTCCCACAGACAGGGCGGCCAGGTGTGTAACATGGGTCTATCGACAAAGCAAACATGTATTCATAAAGAAATTGGTTTTGAAACGAGCCATCTGTTTGGGCCACAGCAGCAGTGCTCAGAGCGTACTCCTGGTTCTGTGCTCAGGGCTCACTTGGGGATCCAGGAGTCGAAACTGGGCCTGCTGTTTGCAAGGTAAGTTCCGTACCCCCTGTCCCATCTCTCCAGCCCTTTCCTGGGCCACGCTCAGCAGTGCTTGGGGCTTTCTCCTGGCTCTGCCCTCAGGGGCCACTCTGGGCAGGTGTCGGGGGGCTTGCCTTGGGCAAGGGGCGTTGAATCAGGCTTGGCCGCGTGCAAGGCGGGCGCCCTGAGTCCCCCGGCTCCTAGAACAGATCTGTCGGCAATTCTAGGACTTTGGGGGCCTCCAGCCTAGTTTCAGGTGGGGCGGGCCGGAGGGGGAGTGGCGAGACCCCTGCCCATAAGCACGATGCCAGCCAGTGTGGCCCCCATTCCCGGGGCAGGGGGGACTCGGGCACCTCAGTCTTGTGGCCTGTCTTCCAGGAGCTGCTTAAGCCCCGGGGACCCGCATGTCGTTCATGAAAACGCCCAATCCGGTGAGCAGGGAGAGCTGGATGGGTGAGGGGGGCCCACGCCTTGGCACCTCCCTCCTGCCGCCCCCTCAGGAACCGACGCCCACCCTGACCCACCCTCGGGAACTCGCCCTGTCCTCGGGGACAGCACGGCTCCCGTTTGCCGCGGAGCCTGGAGAGCCACAGGCCTCCGTGGTCTGCCCGTGGCCACACCACTAGACGGTGGCCATTTGAACGAGACTGTGACTCGAACCCCCCTCCCTGCCCCGACACCTTGGCGCCCACCTGCCCTGGGGGCACTTGTGACTTCCGGTCTCTCTGTCCACTCCGAGCACCTCTAAGGTCCACTTCCCTGCGTGGCTTCCTTGCGCGATTGTGTCTGGAGTTTATATCCATGACAGACATCTAAGCGTCACAGAGAAGCCTCTGCCCAGTGACCCCCTGCCCCACTCGGAGGTCCCTACCCCAAGGAACCAGAAGCTTGGGGGGTGAAGAAGCTTGGGCAGGAGCCTTGCTGACCACGGGCGGCAGCGCCCAGGACCTTCCCCCAGGGGAGGAGCAGGACAGCCCGGCCACAGCCTGCCGTGTGGGGGGCTGAGTGGCAGGAACGCACCCCAGTCCCTGCCGTGTGGAAGGCGCCACCCATCACGTGGCCCATTGTCCAGAGAGATGGGCCCCAACGCTGTGGCTGCCAGGAGCCGAGTGAGGCTTAGGGGGCAGATTCCCGTGGGGGGGAGGGGAGATACTGTCATCTGAGCAGGAGAAGGGGTCTGTCCTCTTGCTGGACTCGGCCAATGGCCTTCACTGGCCACTGCAGAGTGACCAGCTTCCTGGTCTCTTCTAGTTTACCCTTGAAACCCCAACTGTGTGTGCCCCAGATCTGATGACTCGCTGAACCCTCAGTTTGACTATTGGAAAGCAGTTCCCGGAACAGAACGCAGCAGGGTTGGGGGGGGCGTTCGGAGACCCCCAAACTCACACCCTCAATAGGCTATATTTGCCGCCAGCTCCCTTCCCCCAGGGGGTCCCGACTCCACCCAGCTCTCTGCCCTCGGGAGGCTGCCCCCTGCCTGGGTGGTCTCTGCAGGACAGGGCTGAGCCCCTGTGTGTGTGTCCCCCCCCCCCCCCCCCCCCCCCCCGCAGCAGCACCTCCTGCCCCTGCCAGATCGCCGCCTCGTGGGCTCGGTCAACAGATGGCGCTTCCTCAAAGAGCCACCACTCTCGGGGGACCTGCTGGGCCTGTCACAGGCCCGCAAGGCTCTGAGTGTCGACCTGGACGACGTCTTGAAGAACCCAGACAAGTAAGAGGCCACGGGGCTGCCCCTCGGGTGGACGGCATCTGGGGCGGGTGTGCCCGGGCGGGGCAGAGACGGGCTGTGTCCAGGGGATGCCCCTGACCTGGTTTTTCATCTCACCGACATCCCCGGCGTTAGGAACCAAGTGGCCTGACAGGGTGCGCTCGGAGCTGGCCAGCAGACTTGCTGACAAACTGACCGCAGCTATCTCTGCCCTGGGTCTGCCCTGGGCACCCGGGTCCTGGGGCTTCCCTGGAGTGGCCGGAGTGTGGCGCCTCCCCATGCTGGCAACCTGGCCCCAAGCCGCTGACCCCCGGGGCGGCCCCGCCAGGTGGGTGGTCTGGGCCCCCAAAGGCTCCTGGCTCTGTGTTTCCTTGCTATGACTTGGCGTTTGGGCCACCCCGGTGGTGCTCGGGGACTCCTGCCTCTGTGCTCGGGGTGAGTCCCACAGCGTGGGGGTCCGGGCATCACTGCATGCAAGGTCGGCGCCGAACCTTCCCCTCTCCTGACCCCCGACTCCGTGTTTTTTGAGCAAGTGCTAGCACCTTCTCTCTGGCCCCACTGGCCAGTCCTGTCTCACTGTCTGCCACCCCCAGGCACAGGTGAGGGTTACACCCTCTCGAATCCACCCAAGGCCACCCGCATCAAGGGTCCAAGTTCTCTGATGCCCTCAGCTTTGGAAGTCTGAGTGCACTGACAGTCGTACCGTATGACCCGAATTCATTTCATGGATCTTCTCTGGGACCTTGGGGCTGTTCCCAGCGGCACCTGGATTTTGTTGCGGGGCTGGACCAGACCCAACCTGCAGACCCACCCCTACCCACTACCCCAGCCCTCTGAGTCGGGTCCGAGCCTGATTGGCCTCTGCTCTGTTTTGCTCAGAGCCCTGGGGAGTCCTGCGTTCTTCACCAGAGCGCGTGGCATGCCTCAGGGTGGGGCTGGCTGGGGCAGTGAGGGCCCCACGGCCTGGCTTGTGACTCGCTGAACTGAGCTGGGGGGTGCTGGCCGCCCCTTGGGGTGTGGAGATCGAATGTGGCATCAGTGGACCTGGAATTGGAGTCTCAGAAGCAGAGTCTGTCCTGGGCCCGGGAATTCCCGCCTCTGACCCAGCCGTGTTTGGCCGGACCTCATCCCCCTGAGTGTGCTCAGGAGAGTTGTGGGTGACATGTGAGTGTGTGTGTCTGTGTGCATGTGAGTGCTGTGTGTCTGTGTCTGGGTGCATGTGTGAGTGTTGTGTGTCTGTGTGCATGTGTGAGTGTTGTGTATCTGTGTGCATGTGTGAGTGTTGTGTGTCTGTGTGCATGTGTGAGTGTTGTATGTCTGTGTCTGGATGCATGTGTGAGTGTGTGTGTGTGTGTGTGTGTGTGCATGCGTGCATGTTGTGTGCCTCTGTCTGGGTCCATGTGTGAGTGTGTGTCTGGATGCAGGTGTGCGTGTTGTGTGTCTGTGAGTGCATGTGTGGGTGTGTGAGCGCAGAGGTGGGCCCAGCACAGCATGGACAGATGCACTTCCGTAACCCCCGTGTCGTGCGTCTCCTCTCTGAGCGGTCCCAGTTCCAGGAGGGACTGAGCTCCGGCAGCTCCGTCAGGGCCTCCCTGAGCTGCGGGGATGAGGGATTCGTTCTGGGTCCCTCTTCTGAGCCTGCCTGGGCCCAGCCGGTTTGCCCAGCCTGCGTGGTGGGCACGGCTCCGCCCACCCCTGCCCAGGCCCCACCCAGCTTCCTCTGGGTGGTGAAAGGAGCAGCCGGAAAGGACTCGCCCTGGGGGGTGGCTCTTGCTGTGGCTGCTTCCAAGCCCAAGGTGACGCCGTGAGGACCTTCGTGCTGTCCATTCTCTGCGCCCAAGTGGCCAGCCCACCCCCGGCTCTATTCCCTTGTGAGATTCTGGACGCTCGTGCCCCAGGCCTGCCAGCAAGACGTCCTTTGTCCTTCGGCCTCCGGTGGCCCCCTGACCCGGGCAGTACAGGGCCTGGCATCCTCTGTCCCCCACCCTCTGCTGGGACGGGAGCCCCGGAGCCGAGTGAGGGCTAGCCTGCTCTCGGGCCCTTGGGTATCCCCCTGCCTCGGTTTCTCCATCTGCAAACATGGTGCAGTCTAGCAGCCCGTGGAACCACGTGTCCTGCTGAGAACGGCATCTGGTGAGACCACCCCTGAGGAAGCCCTTCCCGGCCACATCCGGGGCCTCCCTGGAAGCAGGCAGTGAACTAAGCTCAGAGACACCCCCCACCCCCAGATCAGGGGAGGGCGGGCGTTCAGCCACAGATGTGCCCCCGTAGGGGAGGGGGGCCAGGGGCACCAGGACAAGCCCCCTCCAGCCCCTCTTCCTGCGGGGTTGCGGTCTCCTGCTTCCCTCCCGCTCTGCCTGCCACGCCGAGTCTGCTCTGAGCATGGGAGCCGAGATCCCCCAGACCGTCCACGGCACGGCATTCAGCACGAGGTCGCCCGGGGTCTGCCAGAGCCCAGCACAGCCGAGGCCGGAGTGCCAGCTCCCCCCGCTAGCCGGGCCCAGAGAGGGGGAAGCTCAGAGCCCAGGGGTTTGGCCCGAGGGCCCCAGCAGCCAGCAGGACTGACCCCAGGCCCAGACCTACAGCCTCTCCCAGAAAACCCAAGGGAACGTTCCCGAAGGCATCAGAGCCGCTGCCTGTGGCGGGCCCATGTCCCGGCAGGACGAGCTGACGCCCCCCACGTCCCCTCCTGAGCCCACGTGTCCCTTCATCACAAGGCCACCTGGTCCCCCACAGGGACAGACACCTCGCAGGTGCCACTTGCTCCGTTAACTTGGCACCGTCCACCCCCCCAACCCCCCCGCCCCTCGCCTGGTGCTCGAGGGGAACTGGCGGTCACAGCTGGGGCTCGGCCTGGCACCGCCATCTCAGCCGCTGAGCTCACGGGCCTCGCCCAGTTTCCCAAGTCTGTTGCTTCATTCTGGGGTCGCGACCTCAACCGGCGACCCTGGCCAGCCCTTCCCAGGCCCAGTGGGGAGAGCCAGGCCACCTGGGGCCAAGTCAGGAGGATGAGGCGGGGAGGGCTCAGTGAGGAAACAGCTCGGCTCCTGCCGCCCTCCAGAGCTGAGTCACTGGGCGGCCGGAGGGCAGCGTGTGGCCAATATTATTCTGGATGGGATCAGGGCTGGAAAACAAACTCACGGTCCCTTGCATGTCCCTTGGCGGGTCGACCTTCCCGGGGTGACGAACCTCGAGCCGTGAACCCGTGACGCGGGTTTTGCCCCGTTTCCTGACTTACTGCGACGAGACGTGTTTATGGAAACGCGTCTGAGTGGGTGATGGCCTGGCGGGTGGCGGGACACACCACACACGCGCTGGGTGCTGTGGGGGGCCCGGCGTGGGCAGCGGGTGGGAGGAGTTTGCTCCCCTTGGGCCACCCCCCCCGCCCCCCGCAGTGCTCAGGGCTCCCTGCAGGGGTGCTACTCTCTCTCCGGCCCCAGGGGGTCCCAGTCAACACGGCATTTTGTGCCTTTTCCCTCGAGGTTGTGCTTCTCCCAAATTGAGAAGATGTTCTCTGACGATCCGAAGACCAAGTTTACTCCGAGTAGGGGGTCAGGTGAGTCCCTGAGCATCCGGACTTGCTCAGAGCTATCCCCCACGGCGCTCTCGGAAGGATGGGCAGCCAGGCCAGACCCCAGAGCCTCAGTTTCCCTCCCTGCGGAGCCCTGGAGAGATCGTAGGTGCCTGTGAATACTCGGCAAAAGGCCTAATAAATGAAGCAGAAAACTCACGCTTGGTGCTTCAGTCACACGGCAGATGACCCGGGCGGGGACCCTCAGCTGGGCTGTGCAGATCCAACCCTGAGCTGGGGACCCTCAGCTGAGCCGACCCTGGGCTGGGGCCCCCGGCTGGGCTGTACAGATTCGACCCTGGGCTGGGACCCTCAGCTGAGCCGACCCTGGGCTGGGACCCCCGGCTGGGCCGTACAGACCCGGCAGAAGTCCCAGGAGACCCGATTCCCATTAGCTCACACAAGCCCGATGTCACATCTCTGCTTGACCCAAAGGAGGATCTGGAGTGGGGGAGGGGACAGGACCACACAAGGCCTGTCCGCCGGCCCAAGGGCCTCAGGGCAGGGCCCCCCCTTTCCGGGACTCACGCTCTGCCCGTTCCTGTTCTGTTGGGGCTGGTGCCGTGGACACGCCTCTGTCCCCTCCTGCCTGCAGCTGCAGAACTGGGCACTGGGAAGGGCTGGAATCGCTCTCTGGGGCCGGGGGGCAGCTGCCCTCCTACCCCTGCGGGGAGCCGAGAGCTGAGACCCTCGGGTTTGGGGAGCAAGAGGCAGGGAGGCCGTGCCAAGGCCCCGAGGCCTCTGCTCAGGGCCCCGTGCAGGTCACCCGGACAGCTCCTATGTGTGCAGGGAGCTGCTGGTTGGGGCTCCCCCATCCCCCTCCCAGCCCGGGGCCGCCCCAGACTCTGTTCCGTCCGTCTGTCCCTGTCCGGCGGCTGAGCCGGGCTGCGCTCTCCGCAGATGTGGTTCTCGAGTGCCTGGGCTCGCAGTGGGAGCTGGGTGCGAGTCAGCTGGTGCAGTCGGCGACCCTGGCCAGGCTCTACCTGGCGGCCCTGGCCCGCAGCTCGGCGGACCCCACCACGGAGCTGGAGAAACTTTTGCAAGGTGACGCCCGCGAACAAGGGGGGGGGGCGGCAGGAGACCCCCCTCACTCTGGTGGGGAGGTGTGACCGGGACGGGGGATAGTAGCAGCTTCTAGAACCGTCCCCCTAGGCCACGCTTCTGGAACCATCCGTGGAGGTCGAGGCCACCTGGCACTTTGGTACTAGGCTGCCTCGGGGCTGCGTCTCCTCCCGACTTGGCAGGGCGGTGGCCGGGCCTGGCCCAGGTCACTGGAGCGTCGCTGCTGGTTCCCTCAAACTCCATCCCACTTCAGCAGCACGCCAGGACTGAGGGCGGGTCCAGGCGTTCGACACTGGCCTGCCCATGGTTGCGGGACTTCCACCCCACCATCCCCCGGAACCCTGAACACCGCAGGGCCGTGACAACCCCACCCCAAAGCCTAGACACCTGGGCTCTTTCTTTCTCTCTCCTTATTGATTTTAATTTTTAACGAGGGGGTAGGAGGCTGGGGCGCCCGGGGCAGTGCTCAGAGCTACTCCAGGGTCCATGCTCAGGGGGTGCCCCTGGGGGTGCTCAGGGGAGCATTTGTGGTCCTCAGGGTGGAACATGGGTGAGCCTCAGGCAAGGCAGGGACCCCACCCCACCCACTGTGCTAGTTTTCCTGCCCCCTTCTTTTTATTTTGTTATTGTTTTTTGTTTTGGGGGTCGTACCCGGCAGTGTTCAGGGGTTCCTCCTGGCTCTGCACTCAGGAATTACTCCTGGTGGTGCTCAGGGGACCATGTGGGAAGCCAGGGATGGAACCCGGGTCGTCCACATGCAAGGCAAGCGCCCTCCCCGCTGTACCATTGTTCCGGGCCCCTCCCCATTTCTAATCCTGACAATCCCCCCACCCCCCTGGCCCCGGGTAGCTAGGACAGCAGCCAGACACTTACCCTGCATGCGGCTTCAGTTTGATTCTGGGGTCACACCCGGCCCCGAAGTCCCACCAGCCGTGTCTGCCCAACAGAGGACCCCCAGCATGCTGCCGTTTGGGGGGTGCCCAGCCCAGGTTAGACAAAGGCTACCCCCACCCCCACGTGTTCCCCCCCCAGCCTCGGACCCCGGCTGGGGTTTCTCCACCCACAGTGCTCTTCTCTCTGGGTCCACAGAGCAGTCAGCCATGAGAAAGAGAGACACGCCCATGGAGAAGAAGAAGATCATCATCTCCTTGAAGATCAACGACCCTTTGGTCACCAGAGTCGGTAAAGTGCCTGTGAAGGGCGGCAGCGGACGGGGGCCTTCGAGGTCCACGCTGACCCGCTGACAGGATGTCGGGGGCTCCCGAGAGCCAAGGAGGTGGCGGGTGGGGGAGGGGGGCCGGGCCAGGATGCGGGAGTGGGGGTGAGTGGGGGTGCACCGGGAGGCACGGCTCGCCCTGGGGGTGGGGGGGTGGGGATCGGTGTTGAGACGTCGCCACAGAAACCCAGAAACCCAGCTCTGAGCCCGCCAGCCACGGGGACCCCCTTCCTGCACCCTGGAGAGACCCCTGACTCAGAGGGAAGCCTGAGCCAAGCTGGCCGAGAGAAGGCGCCTCAGGGGAGGAGCAGGACCCCCGTTTTCCGCCCCCACTCCCAGGGAGCCTCGGGGTCCCCCGGGCCTCCCACCCTCCCCACCCGTGGGCCGCTGAGGGCGCTGTCGGGTGCCGCCCCCGCAGCCTTCGCCACGGCCCTGAAGCACCTGTACGTCAACGACCTAGAGGTGACCATGGACGAGATGCTGGGCGTGATGGCCTCGGCCCACGTCCTCTGCCTGGGGAGGCTGTTCCAGAGGTGAGCGGCGGTGCCAGGCTCTGTCCCCAGGACCCCGGGGGACACTCGCACACTCGGTGGCCCCGAGAGAGGCAGCTCACATCGGCTTTCTAGGCTGGTGCCGGGAATCGAACCGGGAGCCCCACCGGCTCCTCCCAGGCTCCCCAGGTGGCTTCTGGCCTCGGGGGAAGACATAAACAGCCAATTTCGCCCCCAGGGAGGCCATGTGTGTCCAGCTAAACTGCCCGGCCACGTGGATGTAGGATCCACTCGTGACCACCACCCCCTTTCATGGGGCGCGGGGAGCCACACCCGGTGATGCTCAGGGCTTACTCCTAGCTCTGTACTCAGGAGTTTCTCCTGGCTGGCGGGACTTGGGGACCATCCGGGTTGCCGGGGATGGATGGAACCCAGCCGGCCATGTGCAAGGCAGGCGCCCTGCCCGCTGAAGGTGCTCTCTGGCCCTGGCCTGGCCGATGTCTTGCTCTCCTCTCTGCCGGGTCTGTTTTGCTCTGTTGGTTGGGGAACACACCTGGCAGTGCTCAGGGCCAGCGCAGTGTTGGGGTCTCGCCCTGCCCAGGAGTGTCCTTTCTGATCCTGCCCCCCCCCATTATGGTGACCCTTTCCCCCACGCCCTGGTGACCTGGCCTTTGACACCAGCCCTTAAGCAGCTGTCATCAGTGGGGCTTCCTGCCTGCGTGTCCCCCCGAGGTGACCCCACTGCCCACCTGCTATGCTCTTTGCACCCACTGGGCCCAGCACCCGGCCCATGCCTGGGTCAGTGGCTCCTTAAGGAGGAATCCGCCAATCAGATGCGGTGAGGAAGGTCCCAGCTTCCAGAACTGCTTCTGAATCCTCTCCCGTGGGGAGGGGAGGGCGCCCCCAGGAGTCTGCTCAGGGAGAAGTCCGAGGATACTTAGGGGCCAGGTGGGGCTGCGGGCTGAAGTGTTGGTTCCACACCTGCCCACCACCCCCCGGTGCGCCCCAGGGATTCCACATCAAGCCCCAGTGTTGTGTGACAGACCTCACCCTGCTCTGGCCAGAGGCCTGTGACCCTCCCCCGGCCCCGTGGGGGTCCTCGAGCCCCCCGGGGCAGCACGTGGGAGCAGGTGCCAGAGGTCCCTCTCGGCAGGTGTGTCTCCTTGATGATCAGTGAGCTCATGCCAAGTACCATCAAGAACTTCTACCAGGCCGGTTGTAAGGTGAGAACCTGGGCCGGGGGGGCCCAAACCCAGAACTTCCTGCGCGGGGCCCAGTTCTGGACGCCCCTGCCTACCACCCTCCCCCCACCTGGGAGGGGGCCGCTGTTTTGCAGTAATGGATTTAAACACCTTAGTTTGATTTTGCAGGGGCCTCCCCGGTGGGTTCAGGTGTCTCGGGGCCCTTCCTGGGGGCCTTTTTGGCCCTTTGGGCCTGTGACTCAGAGCCTGGAAGTGCTGGGGACACCCTCCACCCGGCTAATCTCCGCGGCCAGCTAGGTGTCGGGGAGACTACACAGAGCTGGGTCCAACCCAGGGCCCGCTCTGAGGCACCCCGGGGCCTGCGCTAGGCAACTTCGTGAAGGTTTCGGCCTGCGGCTCCCACATGCCTGCAGTGTCACCAAAGGCCAGCAGAGGGCGCCAAGAGCCCAGTAATTCTTGGCCCATCGGCGTTTCTTGCTTCAGTACAAGGCCGAAGAGCTGGTGACGGCCTGCGAGAAGTGGCTGGAAATGAACTTGGTTCCTCTGGTGGCCACGGAGATCCACCTCCGGTCCATCCCTCAGGAGCTGCTCTTCAAGGTGCTGAAGTCCCCCAGGTCAGCGCTGCTTCCAGGGACACGCCTGGGAACCCCAGGGAACTGGGGGAGCTTGGAGTGGGTGGGAGGTGACCCCCCCCAGGCGGGCAGGGGGGGGGCTGCACTGGGGGTGCATGGAGGGCCGTGGCAAGCTGCACCTCCCCCCTCAGACACCCCTGCTCTGGTGGCAGGAGGGGGGCGTGTGGGGCTTCCTGGCGGTTAGAGGCCTCGGCAGCTCAGGTCTAAGGCTCGTGCCCTCGGACCACCCTGGCCCTGCAACACACAAAAAAATCAAGCCGGGAAGGCTCGTTGAGGGTGAGGGAGATGTTCTGGAGGCTGGGGGGGGGGGTCTCTGCATGCAGGAGGAGGGTCCCCCCCACGTACATGACACGGTCCTGCCCACCACACCGCCCCCATCCACGTTAGCCCTGTCCATGACACACCCCCTCGCCCACGTCAGCCCCGTCTTCACCCTGTCCACAACAGAGCCTGGCGCCACCTATGACTGAAGGGCAGTGCTGAGGGCAGTGACAGGGCATGAGGGGCTGGCTGCACGCACCCCCAGAGACGGGGGCTCTGGCCTGGCACTCAGTGGCCACCGTCTCCCACCTCCTGGCGTGGTCTTCCTCACGGGAGCCAAAGGGTGCTGCGTCCTCATTCTCTCGAAGGAGGGAGACGAATTCAAAGAGGGACAGGCGGGAGCTCTTGTTTGTTCTGATCCAGGGCTCCGGACGCTGCTCAGGACTGGTGCTGGCTCTGTGGCCGGATTTTCTCCATGGCCGGGATCTCTCTGTGGCCTGGATCGCTCCGTGGCCAGGATCTCTCTGTGGCTGGGATAACTCCATAGCCAGGATCTCTCCTGGATCTCTCCATGGCCGAGGTCTCTCCATGTTCAGGATCTCTCCATGGCCAGGATCTCGCCTGGCCGGGATCTCTAGGTGGCCAGGATCTCTCCTGGTCGATATCTCTCTGTGGTCAGGATCTCTCTGTGGCCGGAATCCCTCCATGACTGGGATCTCTCCATGGCCAGGATCTATCCTGGACTGGCTCTCTCCGTGGCCGGGATATCTCCATAGCCAGGATCTCTCTTGGCTGGGACCCCTCTGTGGCCAGGATCCTCCATGGCTGGGATCTCTCCATGGTCAGGATATGTCCTGGACGGGCTCTCTCCGTGGCCAGGATCCCTCTGTGACCAGAGTCTCTCCATGGCCAGAATCTCGCCATAGCCAGGATTTCTCCATGGCCAGGATCTCTCCTGGATGGGCTCTCTCCATGGCCAGGATCTCCCCTGACTGGGATCTCTCCGTGGCCGGAATCTCTTTGTGGTCAGGATCTCTCCTAGCCAGAATCTCTCTGTGGCTAGAATCTCTTCATGGCCGCTATATCTCTATGATCAGGATTTCTCCATGGCCGGGATCTCTCCTGGCCAGGATCTCTCCGTGTCCAGGATCTCTCCATGGCAGAATATCTCCGTGGCCAGGATCTCTCCTGGACAGGTTCTGTCCATAGCCAAGATCTCTCCAAGGCCGGAATCTCTCTGTAGGCGGGATCTCTCCTGGCCAGGATTTCTCCGTGGCCAGGATCTCTTTATGGCCAGGATCTCTCCTTTTGCGGGATCCCTCCTGGCCGCGCTCAGGGAACCCCATGGGCTGCCAGAAGTTAATGGGGATGGCCCTGTGATGAGAACGGGAAGTGGAATCCTCAGGGGTCAGGCTCCGTGACCTCTGGGGGGAAGGGAAGGGAAGTAGCCCGGCTTTAGGGCTGAGAGCCCCCGGAGCAACGTCTGACCACAGCGCCGGGCTCTCCTTGCAGAGAGCTGCAGGATGGACCCCACTGTGTGGCCCAGCACCGGGTGTCTGCGTGTGGGGGTCAGTTCTCTGCTCTGGGCCTTGGCAAGCATGGGACCTTGGGCCCCTTTTCTTCAGCTCTGGGGCTGCCTGCAGGCGAGGGGCTATACCTCCCCTCCCCTCCCCTCCCCTCCCCACACCTCCCCCGTCCCCTCCCTTCCTTTCATTGTTCCTTTTGGGTCACACCCAGAGATGCTCAGGGGCTACTCCTGGCTCAGGGGTTATTTCTGGCAGTGTTAGGGGACCATATGGGCTTCTAGGGATCAAACCCAGGTTGGCCACGTGCAGGGCCAAAGCCCTCCCCGCCGCCCTATTGCTCCGTTCCCTCCTCCAGCCTTCTCTAACCAGCCCCAGCCGCGGGGCATTGCTTTGACCTTGCCCCGAACTTTTTTTCTCCGTTTTTTTTTTCCTCTGGCTTAGGTTGTTCACATTCAGCGAATTCCACCTGCTGAAAGCAGTGCTCTTGTGGGTCTACCTGCAGTTCAACCACAGAATCCAAACTCTTCCGGGCCATGAAAACGTGCTGGCGTTTTTTCACAGGTAACGCGGGGCCCGCGTGGCCGCGGAACAGAGCGGGAACTGGTTGTGGGTGTGAAGTCAGGTGGGGGTGGCACGGGTGAGATTTCCCAGTTTCCCTCAGACTGCAGAGAAAGTGGGGTTCTTCACGGGGCCCCAGGCTCTCTTCCTGAGAGCTTTCGGACCACTCACGAAATAGGTGCTGGGTTCGCATGTTGACACCGGCTCCCACTGGCTGTGGCTTCGTTAACATCAGTCACACTGGCGCCTGTCTGTGGCAGGTGATGGGCACGTGCCCTTAAGAACTTGCCCTGAGGAACATAAAGTAACAAAATAGGAGACTAACACCCAAAAATAGCCGAGATAAGTACCAGGAGATTTACTCCATGCCTTGGAGGCCAGCCGCACACGCTAGGGGAAAAGGCAGCTCAGGAAAAGGGAGCACCAAGTAAAGGGTGTTGGGAGGATCCTCCCAGGATGGGAGAAGCATGCTGAAAGTAGACTATAGACCGAACATGATTGCCACTCAATGCCCCTTTTGCAAACCACAGCACCCTAAAGGAGAGAGAGAACGAAAGGGAATGCCCTGCCACAGAGGCAGGATGAGATGAGGGGATTGGGGGTGGGAGGGATACTGGGATCCGTGGTAGTGGGAAATGGGCACTGGTGGAGGGATGGGTATTTGATCATTGTATAATAGAAACCCAAGCACAAAAACTTGTAAGTCTACAACTGTACCTCACGGTGTTTCAAAAAGAACTTGTCTTGAGACTGAAATAACACCAGAGGCAAGCATACCTTTAAAAAAGAAAAAAAAGACAAACACATCTGTTCACTGAACCAAAAATTTCTTATTCAATCAGACCCTGCTGCCTACTGGTAAGGAGGTGCCCCTTGGCGCCCTTGGGGGCCAGCGCTTTCATCTGGCAGGCATCCCAGAGCCCATCAGACAGAGGCCAGCTCAAGGGAGTGGCCAGCTGGGGTCTGAGCCATAGGACAGTGAGCAGGCATGAGGCAGGCCCTGGGTTCCATCCCTGGCACCCTACGTGGTCCCCTGAGCACAGAGCCAGGAGTAAGCCCTGAGCACTACTGGGTGAGACCCTAAAACAACAACAAAAAGGGGTGGACAGAAATAAAAATTTAAAAGAACTTTCCAGCTTCCCAGAGAAATGAAGAGGCATTGGAGTGCAGGAAAGATTTCACAGAATTCACCCAGTTTCTCTCACACTTTCTGACTTTGGGCGGGGACGTTGGACCACGCCCAGCCGTGCTCAGGGCTGGCTTCGTGCCAGGCAAGCCCTCAAGTCCCGGGCTGTCCCTCCAACCCCATTTCCCGCTTTCTAAACTCTGACATTCTAAGTTCTTCGGAGTGGAGTGAAAGCAGCCAGTTGGCTGAGCAGTGAGTGGGTTTCCAGTAAATTGAATCGAGGCTCTGGGGTCGGTAAATGTGGCGCTGCTGACCCTCACTGACCAGTGCCGCCGGGTCCTCAGCGGCTGGCTTTATTATGTCCATTTTATTTATTTATTTATTTTGCCTTAAAAAAATTTTATTAGTGAGACACCATGGGGTACAGTTGCAGACTTACAAATTTTTGTGCTTGTGTTTCAATGATACAATGATCAAGCACCCATCCCTCCACCAGTGCCCATTTCCCACCACCACGGATCCCAGTATCCCTCCCACCCCCCATCCCCCCCATCCCACCCTGCCTCTGTGGCAGGGCATTCCCTTTTGTTCTCTCTCTCTTATTGGGTGTTGTGGTTTGCAAATGAGGCAATGGGTGACAATCATGTTTGGTCTGTAGTCCACTTTCAGCATCATTATACCCATTTTACAGAGGAGAAAACAGAGGTAGGGACTGAAGTCATGCGAGGGCCCAGGGAAGTGGACTCAAACCCAGGCCTGCCGTGTCCCTCTGCCGTGGGCGGGCAGAGGGGCCCCAAGCACGGCTTCAGCTCCCAGGCCCCAGAGTTCACAAAGGCCCCAGCTGGGTGATTCTAAACTTGTCTTGTGGGTCCTTCTCCCCCTACCCGCACACCCAGGGGCATTCACTCTCCCTCCATCCAAGAGTGCCCGTTGGTAAGTGTGGGCTGTGGTAGCATTGGATGGCTGAAGGGGCAAGTTTGGGGGGTCCACGTTGTGACCCCAGAGCTCTATTCAAACCCCTTCATCCGAGCCAGCTGCAGAGCGGGATGATCTGGGTGGTCTCCAGGGAGACCGTGAGCGTCTCCGCCCTAGACAGGAAGTAACTGCTGGTCACTGCCAAGCTCATGTCTGTGTCCTCTGGTCAACAGAAGCAGGGACTTCCGAGCGCAGCAAGGCCTGCGCAGAAAAGCCAAGCTTTGGGGCCGGAGAGATAGCACAGCGGGGAGGGCGTTTGCCTTGCACATGGTCGACCCGGGTTCAATTCCCAGCATCCCACATGGTCCCCTGAGCACTGCCAGGAGTAGTTCCTGTGTGCAGAACCAGGAGGAACCCCTGTGCATCACTGGGGGTGACCCAAAAAGCAAAGAAAAAGAAAAGAAAAGAAAAATAAAAGCCAAGCTTTGCTTCTTGGGGGGGGGGGGAAGGTTGGGACGCATCCGGTGTTGATCAAGCGTTACTCCTGACTCTGTGCTCAGGGAGCATCACTCCTGGCAGTGCGCGGTGCTCACCTCAGCTCTGTGGTGCTGGGGATTGAACCCAGGTCAGCTGCATGTCAGGCAGGTGCCTTAACCCCTGGACTCTCTCTTGGGCCTCAATCTCTACATTTCGCAGGGGTGGGGGTGATGCATACCTAGGGATGCTCGGGGCTTACACCTAGCTCTGCACTCGGGAATCAGTCCGGACAGGCTCAGGGGATCGAACCTGGGTCGGCCGTGGGCCAGGCCAGCGCCCTCCCTGCTGTGCCGTCTTTCTGGGCCTCACAGCTCCAGCCTCTTTGGCACACCTGCCGTCCCCTGGTTAACGCTGCTCTTCCCACAGGCCCACAGCGGGTGATCGGCCCCGCTGGGCTGCATCTGCTGGTCCCGCTGCAGCTCTTTCTGGAACATCTGTTCCCCGCATTAAAGGCAGCTTGCTTCTCTGCCTGCTGGTTATTTGGGGAAGGCAGTGCTCAGTGTTGGAATTATATGTTCTTCCCTTGGTTTCTATATAATTACTCGGAACCCAAACGTTTTCAGCACACCCCCCCCCCAGTCCATTCTTTTAATAGCCCCAGAGACACTTTTCCTGTGACTCATGCACCCCAGGAAAAATTGCTACTTGGCTCCCAGTTTGCGCTGGTCCTGGAAGCCTCTTAGTGCCTGAGATAGGAAACGAGCAGAAAGGGGTGAGTCACCCCCTGTGTTTCCGCGGGAAGCGGCCCAGGGTCCGGAGACCAGGCGTGGGGTTCCCTCTGCGAAAGTGGGGCTCTAGGCCCGTCAGCAGAGCCTCAAGCCGCCCTCCCAGACAGGCATCAGTGTGGGGGCTTCTCCTTGCTGAGACCTTCCTGTGGCCCCCCTCCCAGGAGCCACCCCTGCCCCACTCTGTGTCCCAGGAAAGAGGACCGGGACCCTTGGCCCACTCGGCGGACTCATTCACTCAAGGCTCACGCGACTGATGCAGGACCTCAGAACTCCTGGCCCAGGGGCTGGAGCGATAGCACAGTGGGTAGGGCGTTTGCCTTGCATGCAGCCAACATGGCCGGTACAGGTTCGATTCCCAGCATCCCATATGGTCCCCACCAGGAGTGATACCTGAGTGCATGAGCCAGTAGTAACCCTGAGCATCACCAGGTATGACCCAAAAAGCCAAAAAAAAAAAAGAAAGAAAGAAAGAAAGAAAGAAAGAAAGAAAAGCCCCAGGGGCTGCTGGACCCAAGGCTCCACTTCTAGAAGTTTCTGCTTCTAGAAGGTTCTGCTTCTAGAAGTTTCCTCTTCTAGAAGGTTCCACTTCTAGAAGTTTCCTCTGTTGCCCGCCCATGCAGTGAAGCTGCCTTGCACCAGAGCCAGCGACATGAGCAGCTGAGCCACAGCTCAGTGCCCTAGCGGGGCCCCCAGAACCCCCAGGAGGGTGGGGACAGAGGTACAGCCCCAGGGACCCCCCCAGGTCTGGGCTAGAGCAGAGGGAGCACTTTGGCCACTTTGGAAATCGCCTCCGGTGGTGAGGACATGGGGGCCGCAGTGCAGACCCTTTGAGGGTGGCAGCTATGGGCAGAGCTGACACCCCAAGGAAGGAGCTGCCACCGCGGGGCGGGGAGGGGAACCCGGCAGGACCCTGTCTCCTGAGATGCTGGGGCAGAGAGTGAATCAGAGAACCAGGCTCCCCTGCTCTGAGCAGAAAGAGGAGAAAAGCTTCCTGGAGGTGACAGAAGCAACAGCAGGGCCGAGGGCAGCGGGACACACAGTGACACACGGTGACACAGACACACATGCAGATATATGCAGACAGACACACGGACATATGTACGGGGAAACAGACGCCAACACCCACAGAGACATAGACCCAGCCCCAGATACACAGACACGCACAGACGGACACACGGGTGCAGAGACAGACATGGACACAGACATGTTCTGACGTTGTTGTGAGCACACACACACACACACACACGCATACACATGCACACACACACGCACACGCACCCCCTGCACCCCAAGCCCATTTTCCCGGCAGTGACTCATTTAGAAAAACAAACAGGCTGTCCAGAACGAAGCTTGACATTTCCTTGTAGGAAAAACAGAAGCGAGAGCGAAGTGGCAGCTTCATCCTGGCCGGGAAAAGCCTTTTTTTTTTTTTTTTTTTTGTTCCACTTTGGCTGTCTGGGAAGTTCAGGGAAACGAAAACTTCGCTCGTCAGAGAAAAGGCCGCGAGGCAGCTGACCATCCCTGGCTGAAGTCTCGGTTTAGAGTCAAGGTCGCGGGGGAGAATGCAGCGGGGAGGGCGTTTGCCTCGCACACGACTGACCCGGGTTCAATCCCTGGCACCCCATATGGTCCCCTGAGCTCGCCAGGAGAGCACAGCCGGGCGTGTCCCGCCCCCTCCAGCTCCCCACCAAATACACACACACACACACACACACACACACACACACACACACACACGCACATTGTCACCGTCACTGTCCTCCCGTTGTTCATCGATTTGCTCGGGCGAGATACTCTGGGCAGCTTGCCAGGCTCTCCAAGAGGGGCGGAGGAATCGAACCTGGCTCAGCTGGGCTGGCTGTGTGCAAGGCAAACGCCCTACCGCTGTGCTATCGCTCCAGCCACCCCGCCCTGTCCTGCCCCCCCCCCCCCCCACACACACACACACATACAAAGATAAAATAAAAACTGTAAGTGGGGCAGGGATAGAAGAAGGGAGGCAGGATTAAAAAAAAAAACTATTTTTTTTTTAAATAAAACAATTGGGCTGGATAGTGCAGTGGGCGGCCCCTTGCCTTGTATCCCTCCGACCCGGATTCCGTCTCCAGCATCTCATGTGACCAAGAGGAGTGATCCCTGAGCACAGAGCCAGGAATAAGTCCTGAGCACCGCCAGGTGTGGCCCCCAGACAGCAACAAAATAAGACAAATAATAATAAAATGAAAGGTCCCAGCTGCGGAGAATACAGGCGTTCAGGCGCTTCCCTGCCTGAGGCCAGCCCCAGGTCGGTGCCACGATTGTCGCCCCAAACCTCTTTTAATAGCGACCAACAACCCACGGCATTTGGGGCGGGGGGGGCCAGGCCCAACCCAGAGGTTGCTTTTAGACTTTAAGGAGTCTCTAGCCAGTCCTCCTACAACACACACACACACACACACACACACACACACACACACACACGCACACACACACCGACAGCCCTGCGGGTCTCCTGCTCCAAATTCCCCAGCACAAATGCTCTTTTCCGGTCACCTTGAACTGTAAAGTCTCATTGAGGTTCAGCGTAGCATTTTTTGGGGGTCTGTGGGCTGCTGGGGGTCTTCTGTGGAGACGAGTCTGTTCAAATCAGCCCACTTTGGAGCTGAGTCATTTGTCCCTTTGTCGTGGGTTTGCTTTATTAAGGACCCTGACAGTCTGACAGAGAGCCAGTGAGTGGTGGGTCGGCTGCCTTTTCATGCCTGTGGTGGTTTCTTTCACTGTGCAAGGCTCTTTTGGTCTGATGTAGTCAGTCCCAGGGAATCAGTATCGTTACTTCATTTGGGGGTCGCACCCAGTGGTGTTTGGGGGGGCTGCTCCTACCTCAGTGCTCAGGGTCACTCCCGGCAGTGCTTGGGGACCATGCGGTGCCAGGATCAGACCTGGCCCTCCAGCCTGCAAGGCCTTTTGCGATGGCCCCACGACCGTCCTCGGATCACCTTTGCTTTGCTCTTGTTCTGCCAAGTTGCTCTGCCTCTGAGGCCCGTGAGTATGTCACGTGTCTTCTTCCGGCGGTTCCTCTATTCCTGGCGCACAGCCAGCGATGCTCAGAGGCTGACTCCTGGCTCTGCACTCAGGAATCGCTCCTAGGGGTGCTTGGGGATCGTGGAGCATCTGGGGACCCTGGCTTGGCCTCAGACCAAGCAGGGGCGCTGCCCACTGTGCCATCACTCCGGCCCCTCATGGGGTCTTTTCGGTTTTCTCTGTATATAATTAAGGTACGTTGTTGCTTTTGTTTTAGTCTGGGGGGGGGCACATTAATCAAAGCATGGTCATATACAGAAAGCCATTTGGCTCTCACGTGTCTCACGTGCCGTGCTGTGAATCTCCACAAAGTGCTCACCTGGGCCAGGAAGGGAACCAGACACTTCTCCCAGGGGCACCTGTGGGTCAGGCCGGCTTCCTGTCGGGCTTTTCGGCCCCCTGTGGGAACGGGTGCTGGAGCGGGTGCCCCGACCCCCACTCACCTGCCTGTCCACTCAGTGTGGGCTGTCTGGGTGCGTGCGGAGTCCCCGACAGACTAAAGTTCTGGCCCTTAATTCACTGACGTCACTAGGCAGGACCCTCCAGATGCCGCCCCAGGAGGAAGGCACAGCGCGGCCACCAGCCACACGGCCAGAGTCCACAGGCCAGCTTCCACCTCTCCGTGGGCACCTGTGTCTCCTTCCTCATTCTTGGGCCCTGTGCAAAGCTGACCCAGCCTTTATGGCATGGGCGGGGACTCCTCCAGGAAGTCTCCCGGGATCTCCTCTACACTTAGATGCTTCTGTGGGCTTCTCCTGCAGAGAGAACAAGAGTCAATGCAAGCTGGTGGGGGCGGGGAGGTGAGAGAGAGAGAAAGAGAGAGAAAGAGAGAGAGAGAGAATGTGTGAAAGAGAGAGAGAGAGAGAAAGTTTGAGTGTGTGTGTGAAAGTATGAGTGTGATATGAGAGATTGTGTATGTGTGGGAGTATGTACGTGAGAGAGATTGTGTGTGTGAGACTGTGTGTGTGTCAGAGTATGTGTGTGTGTGGGCTGCATGTGAGTATTATGTGTGCATACGAGTGTGTGTGAACGTGTGTATGAGTATGTGTGTAAGTGGATGTGTGTCCACGTGTGAGAGTCCCTGTGTATATGTGAGTACAAGTAGTGTATGTCTGTATTGAGTGTATGTATGTATGTGTATGTGTGTATATATGTGCATGTGTGTGTGCATGTGTGTTTATGTGTGTGTGCGTGTATGTATGTGTGCGCACGTGTGCATCTACGTGTGTGTGCAAGTGTATGAGTGTGTGTGTGTCTTGATACTGGCCCCAGCAGAGGTGGCCGCAGTGTCCCCTGGAGACCGAGGTCAGTGCCGCCCGCTGTGGCCAGCACGCTTGTGTGGAAATAGCCCGTGAGTCAGAGGCACGAGGAGTGAGGAGAGTGACGTCACCCGGGCCTGGCTGGGTGGGGGCTGCGGCCCCAGCGCCCGTCGTCACGCCCGCGACTCCTGTGCCTGTCTGAGCCAGTGACCTCGCGGCCCATGGCCGGCCCTGGAGCCAGCACCTGCCCCCGACCCCGCACGTCTCTGTGCCCCCCAGGTGACCCCCACGTCTCTGTGCCCCCACAGGGGACCCCCATGTCCCTGACTGTGCCCCCTAGTGACCCCCACACCTCTGTGTCCTCACAGGGGACCCCCATGTCCCTGACTGTGCCCTGGAGGTGACCCCGCGTCCCTCAGTGAGAGGGGAAGCGGGTGGGCACAGTGGGGCTCGCCCCTCACGCCAGTGCCCCGTTCCTCTGGGGATGATGTGAGGACCCCAACCCTCAGGCCCCAGCTCTTAAGGAGAGCTGCTGCTCGAACCTGTGCCTGAACCCCTGTCCGCTGCCCCCCCTCCCCACAGTTCTGTCCCATGTCTCCTGCCTCTGTTCCTGGCTCCTTACACCCCTCTCCTTACTCCTATCCCTGGTCCCCTGTCTCCTGTCCCCTGCCGGCACCTGCCTTCCTGGGACTCCTGACGCTCCGGCCCTGGACACAGGCACCAGCAAGTCTAGGAGACCCTTGCTGGGCGAAGTCTCCCAAGACCCTCTGGGGGGCAGGAGGAGCTGGCACACCAGAATTCCTCGGGGTGATGAGACTGGGGGGCTCGGGACAGAGCCTGGGGTCCTGTCAGGGCCTGGCCGGGGCTGGAGAGTCACAGAAACGCCTCCGGAGCCAAGGCTGCCCTCCCGGGCCACAGTGCCCGCTCACCGAGCGGCAGAAGGAGCAGCCGTGGCTGAGCGGACGCAGGAAAGTGCCCCATTGTCTCGTTGGTAGGACAGGGCGCAGATGTGTCAGGGGCGACGGCAGAGGTGGGGCTGCATCTGGGGGTTGGGTGACCCCAACCCTGATGCTAGCCTGCCCGGGCCTACGCCTCCAGTGGGAATATTGCAGAGTTCCTGTGAGTGTCAGAACGACAGGGCCGGTCCCCGAGCCCTGTGTCCCCGTGTGGGTGACACCGTGTGCTGAGAGCCCCGTGCGCATGTGGCAGCTCAGCTGGCCTGCGGGGGGCACACGGCCTCCAGCTGCTCCAACCTGAGCCCCCCACCCGTGATGCAGTCTCTCTAGACGAGAAGGTTCCAGAGTGGGGGGTTCTGAGAGCAGCCCTTGCTTTGTTGCGCCCCTGCGAAGCTTCCCCAAGAAGAGCGCCTTCCTGGACGGGACCCTGGGCCAGTGCCTGCTGCCTCTCTGCCTCTGCCTGCGCCTGCATGGAGTCACCAGCGGTGAGCCCCCCCTGCGTGCACCCCTGCCCTGGACACCCCCGCCCTGGGCACCCCCACCCTGGGGACCCCCACCCTGGGCACCCCCACCCTGGGGATCCCCGTCCTGGGGACCTCCGCCCTGGGGACCCCTGCCCTGGGGACCCGCACCGTGGGCACCCCCACCGTGGGCACCTCTGCCCTGGGCATCCCAACCCTGGGCACCTCTGCCCTGGGGACCCCTGCCCTGGGCACCCCCGCCCTGGGGACCCCCGCCCTGGGGACCCCCGCCCTGGAAACCCCACCCTGGGGACCCCCATCCTGGGCACCTCCGCCCTGAGCACCCCTGCCCTGGGCACCCCTGCCCTGGGAACCCGCACCGTGGGCACCCCCACCGTGGGCACCTCTGCCCTGGGCATCCCAACCCTGGGCACCTCTGCCCTGGGGACCCCTGCCCTGGGCACCCCCGCCCTGGGGACCCCCGCCCTGGGGACCCCCGCCCTGGAAACCCCACCCTGGGGACCCCCATCCTGGGCACCTCCGCCCTGGGGACCCCCACCCTGGGCATCCCCATCCTGGGACCCCACCCTGGCCACCTCTGCCCTGGGCACCCCCACCCTGGGGACCCCCGCTGCACCCAGCGCCCCAGGACTCAGGTTTCTGGCATGCCCCTCCCATCTGGGTGCCTGGGACGGCCCCATAGGCTGAGCCCCCTAGTCTGGACCGGGCTCATTAGACCCCGGGGACCCCCTGGAAAGTGCCCTCAGCTGCCGGCTCCCCACACTTGCCTCTAGCAGGGGTGCCCCTTTGGCGGTCCCTCCTGGAGGAAGGTGTGCTCAGGGCTCTGGTGTCCGGGGCCTCGGGCCTCCCGGGGAGCTGGGACCAATGGGGCGACACGGGGGGCCTGCCGCTCCGACCTGTCCCTCGGGACACTCGGGGACTCTGAAAGGCACCTCCAGCACAAAGACGGGCCGAGAGCTTTGTCCCAGTCACTGTGGCCTTCCAAGGACACTGAGGATTTGGTAGACCCCCTCCGGGAGCAGGATGTGAGCCTGGTCTCCCCGCCGGGATCCCCAGGCCCAGAAATGGCAGGAACAGAAACACAAGCAGGTGTTTGTGTTTGGAAGGGCCCCCACGCCGAGGTGCTCGGGAGCACTCTTGGCTCTGATGGTGCTCCAGGACCCATGCGGTGCTGGGCACTGACCTGGGGCCCCTCGTGTGCAAAACTGCAGTCCAGTCTGCCCCATGCTTCTGCAGGGTCCCGGCTGAGGTGCTGGGATTCAGGGGCTCAGGTGTTGTTGCAGACGCACCCCAGAACCTCACCCAGCCCCCGACATGCTCTGCCACTGGGGGTCTCCCTGATCCCTCCAGGCCCAGTGCTCGGACCCAGCGTTCCCTATTTGGGGGCAGTATTTTCTTTTCTATAATGCAAAACCTGGGACCAGAGTGACAGTCCAGCAGGTAGGACACTTGCCTTGCACATGGCTGACCTGGGTGCAATCCTGGCATCCCACGTGGTCTCGTGGGAGTGACCCCTGAGCATAGAGCCCAGAGTAAACCCCTAGCACTGCTGGGTGCAGCCCCAATAATTTTTTTAAAATTTCAAGAGCAGGAATAATCTTTTTTTTTTTTTGGCTTTTTTTTGGGTCACACCCGGTGATGCTCAGGGGTTACTCCTGGCTCTTGCACTCAGGAATTACTCCTGGCGGTGCTTGGGGGACCATAAGGGATGCTGGGAATCGAACCCAGGTTGGCCGCGTGCAAGGCAAATGCCCTACCCACTGTGCTATCCCTCCAGCCCAAGAGCAGGAATAATCTTATAGTTACTACTGAAGACAGCTTCAGAGGGCCTCCCCTTAAGGTCCTTACTGGGCTGGTTGGGTTTGGCATCTTATGAGATTGTTGTTGAAATGTTTGTCTCTCAAACTCTGTCAGAGAAACGGCATCCCACATGTCGTTAATGCAGGGCAGAGGATTTCCTTCTCAGATCAAACTCATCCTGTTGAGACTGGATCTCATTTATTCCTTTGGATGTTTGTTGGTATACAATATCTTTTTTGGCTAATTTTTTGCTTTGCTTTTGTTGGGAGCAACACCCAAGGTGCTTAGTTATTAGCAAACTCTAATAATAATACTTTCGCTCCAGCTGGAGCAATAGCACAGCGGGTAGGGCATTTGCCTTGCACGCAGCATGGCCGACCCGAGTTCGATTCCTCCGCCCCTCTCGGAGAGCCTGGCAATCCACTGAGAGTATCTTGCCCACACGGCAAAGCCTGGCAAGCTCCTCGTGACGTATTCGATGTGCCAAACACGGTAACAACAAATCTCACAATGTTACTGGGCCCGCTCGAGCAAATCGATGAACAACGGGAAGACAGTGACTGACAGTGACAATAATAATACTGTCATCCCGTTATTCATCGATTTGCTGGAGCGGGCACCAGTAACGTCTGCATTCGACCTAGCCCTGAGATTTTAGCAGCCTCTCCTTACTCGTCCTTCCCAACAGTGCCGCATTGGAGGCTTTTTCAGGGTCAGGGGAATGAGACACATCATTGTTACTGTTTTTGGCCATATCGAATATGCCACGGGAGCTTGCCAGTTATTAGCATACAATAAAAAAAAAATTTTGTTTGATTTGGAGTCACACCTGACCACGCTCAGGCCTTGATCCTGGTGCTGTGTTCAAGGACCACTCCTGGCGGTACTCAAGGGCCTTGATGTGGTTCCAGATATCGAGCTGGGCTCACTGCAGGCAGAGAGAGCACCTTAGGCCCTGGACTGTCTCTCTGGCCCCTGACGTCCATTTTTTAAAGGGCATTCGCTTAGAAAGCCGTGTCCTGAACAAGTCACACGGTTCTTGGTGCTTCTGCCCTGTTTTCTTTCCAACGGAAACTTCCACGCAGAGAACTGGCTCCTTCCCCACCAATCCTCAGCTTCTGCTGCCGTTTCTTCCTCCCTGAGAGGAACGTGGGCAGCCTGGCACCTGCACGCTCTGAAGATGATGTTCTCGGCATGTGTCCTGCAGGCCGGGACCTGGAGGAGCTGAAGTACATGAACTTCTTCCCCGAGTCCTGGATGGTGCGGGTGATGGCCAACCATTACCGCGCAGTGAGTCTGCGCTGAGCAGTGGGCCCTGCACGGCCGTGGTGGCGACTTCCGTCGCGGGGTTTGGGTTTGAAACCCCTGCGCCTCGCAAGCTGGGACGTTGCTGTAGCACCTGTTAGAGAGAGGCCGGAGGAGGAGGAGGAGGTGCCAGTCTCAGGGGCAGGTGCTTCCACCATCCGGCTGCCAAGCAGGAGGTGTGGATGGGGGGCGGGGGAGGGACACAGAGTTCCCCCACCCCAGAGGCAGGAATGGAGAATGGAGAAAATAGGAGGAAGAAAAAAAACAACCTCAGAGCCATCACCCCCCTTGGCCGCTGCTCACGTCTCATTGCCTGGTACAGATTTTGAGTCTTTTTTTTTTTTTGCTTTTTTGGGTCACACCCGGCGATGCACAGGGGTTACTCCTGGCTCTGCACTTAGGAATTACCCCTGTGGGTGCTCAGGGGACCCTATGGGATGCTGGGAATCGAACCCAGGTTGGCCACGTGCAAGGCAAACACCCTACCCGCTGTGCTATTGCTCCAGCCCCCTTGAGTCACTTTTTTTTTTATGTAGGAGTACTGCTATTGATTCAGCCACTGATTAGCTGATTGAATTGGCATGAACTCCAGCCTAACTTTTTTTTCTCCATTATTTTATAATTTTATTTATTGAATCACCGTGAGAGCAGTTACAAAGCTTTCGGGTTTAAGTCTCAGTCATACAGTGAAATACCCGTCCCTTTACCAGTGCCCATTCTCCACCCCCAACAACCCCAGTGTACCCCCATGCCACACCCTCCTCCTACCTGTGGAGCGGACAATTTCCACATTACTCTCTCTCTACTTTGATCACATTCAATATTTTGTTGAGTCATTTAAAAAAAATTCAGTTAACAGGGCTGGAGAGATAGCACAGCAGGTAGGGCGTTTGCCTTGCACGCGGCCGACCCGCATTCAATTCAAGCATCCCATATGGTCCCCTGAGCACCACCAGGAGTAACTCCTGAGTGCAGAGCCAGGAGTAACCCCTGTGCATTGCCAGGTGTGACCAAAAAAAGCAAAAAAAGTTAATTAGGGGCCAGAGCGATAGCACAGCAGGTAGGGCACTTGCCTTGCATGCGGCCAACTGGGGTTCAATCCCTGGCATCCCAGATGGTCCCCATCACACATTGCTGGCTGTGCCCCGCCCCCAAGTGCAGTCCAGTTCAACAGATGCCCGTTGTTCTTTGCAAACCCTGAGCCACAAGGCTTGAACCCTGGCTTGGTCAACCCCCACACCCCCAGAGCCTTGGGTCTCTGGGACACTCAGGATGCCCCTCACCAGCCCCCTCTCTCACTGCGTGTCCTCCTCACGTCCCCCCATTCTTACACCACACCTCCGTTTCCCGGTGACACTCTGGGGGTTTCTCTTCTTCCCTCTGTGCCCTCCGAGAGCCCCGAGACCACCTGGCGCTAAGAGGCTGGCAGCGGGAGCCCTGAGACGGCCTGAGCAGCACCGTGAGGGCGTGGGGGATGCTCAGGGGTCGGCCGGGCTGCGGCATAAGTGAATGTGTTTCCCTTCCAGCTGGAGAGTGGGGGGGACATGGCCCACGTGAAGGATCTCGCCACTCAGGCCGTGAGGTTCGGGCTGCTCTTCGACCAGGTACCAGCTCGGGGCTGGCAGGGCAGAGCACCCGCACCCGCTTGTGCTCCATTAAGGACCCACATGCTTGGTTAAGGACCCGCGTGCTTGGGTAATGACCTACAGGCTTGGTTATAGATCCATGTTCTTGGTAAGGACCCGTGTGCTTGGTTAAGGACCCGTGTGCTTGACTAAGGACCCAGAAACTTGGTTATGGACCATGTGCTTGGTTAATGACCCGCATGCTTGGTTAAGGCCCGTGTGCTTGGTTAAGGACCCCCGTGCTTGGTAGAAGGCTGCATGTCAACTCTTCCATGAGTGGGTAGGTCAGAGCAGAAGGATATTGTAAGTTGCAGCCTTGAAAGGGACATTCCTGAGATGAGCCTGATGTCACCTCCAACTCCCCCCCCTCATGTTGCCAACTGTCCCCGTGTCCAGGGAGTCAGGAAAGGCCGGGCTCAGTGGCTGGGGCAGTCTCCAGGGCATGCTGGGGGCTCGGTTCTCCCCAGAGCCGACATGTCTGCAGTTTCCTCAGAATCACCTCAGCCGTGAACAGGGAGAGAGAGCTCATGGTTAAGGTGCTTGTCCTGTATGCAGCCAGTCCCAGGTCCACCCCGGCACCCTGTGGCTCCTGGAACCTCCCCAGGTGCAGCGTTAAAGGCCCCCCACCACCATCAAGAAAGGATCAGGGCGAGAAGACGGGGTGTAGGGCACTTGCCTTGCAAGCAGCTGACCCGAGTTTGATCCCTGACACCCTCTACGGTCCCCCGAGCCTAGTCAGGAGTGAACCCTGACCCTGAAGCCCGTAGTAAGCCCTGAACACGAGATGTGGTCCACAAACAAACAATGCCACTGCCCAGGGGGCCTGCGGGGTGTCCGACTCTGTCTCCTCGGGTTTCCGCATCACTTGTCTGCCAGGTCGACTGGGAATCACAGGAAGGGCCCTCAGCCGGACACCCCCCCAAAAAAATAAGAATCGGGAGACTGGAGAGAGAAAGCACCAGGGCTAAAGAGCTTCCCCTTCTGACCCCAGTTTGACCCCTCAGTACAGCTGAGCACCGCTGGGCATCACCCAAACCCCACCCTCACCCTGCCGAGGAATTTGGGTTTCTGAGGCTGGGGGGGGTCCTGAGCCGGTCATCAGAGACCCCTCGGGAACTGGCCCAGATGAGAGCGGTGCCTCCAGTGGCCCGCCCAAGAGGACAGTGGATCACAGGGTCCCCTCTGCGAGCCGGGTCTGTCACTGGCACAGAACGCCGTCTCTCTGCGCCCGGAAATCTTAAGTCATCGAGACGGTGCCCGGCTCCCTCTGTCCCGCTAAGGGATGGGCAGGGCGGAAAAGGCCATCGCCGAGGCCCCCGTGGGCGGTCGGGGTCAGCCGTCTGCCAGGACGCGGCTGTTTTCCGTCTGCCCGTCCGTTAGTCACGCTGTTGTGACGGCGGGCGCTGTTTTGGCTGTGCCGGCTGCTCGGGCACTGAGGCACGTTCCCTCCCGCCACGTGCCCGCCTGGCCGTGGGTTAGGAGGAACACACCACGCACTGCCGCACCGTCGCCCTCTACGGCTTCTTCTTCCAGATCAAGGGCACCAAGCACAACCCCACCTCGTACAGCTTCAGCATGCAGGTGAGGACCACGCGGCAGGTGGGCAGCGAGGACGGGCCATCCATCCGCCCTCAAGGGCCTCGGGAAGCCGCATCTTAGTCTTGTTTCGTGCTGGGTCTGTGGGTCTTGTTCTGGGCCACAACCGGGGGGTGCGGGGGATGGGACCCAGGCCTCTCTCACGCAAGGCTCATGCTTCAGTCGCTTGGTTCTGGCTGCTGTGTGTGTGTGTGTGTGTGTGTGTGTGTGTGTGTGTGTGTTTGTCTAGGGGCCACACCTGGAGCTGCTCAGGGCTTACTCCCGGCTCTGTGCTCAGGGTTTACTCCTGGCTCTGTGCTCAGGGTTTACTCCCGGCTCTGTGCTCAGGGCTCACTCCTGGCTCTGTGCTCGGGGATCACTCCCGGCTGTGCCCTGACTCTATCACTTGTCAAGATAAATGTGAAACAGAATGAAGTCACCATGTGGGCTGGAGAGATGGTGCAGTGGGCGGGGCTTGTGCCTCGAACTGATCTGGGCTCAGTGGCCCCTGCACGACCCATGGTCCCCTGAGCCTGCCAGGAGCGATCCCTGAGCACCCCGGGGTGGGGGGGGTGGCAATAATTCAAAGACTGAGGGCACCTGAGGTTTCGGCTCTGCTTCTCGGCCACCTCCCTCGTGCCCTGGAGCAGGTTCTGGGGGGTCCCCTGGGCCAGCCCTGGGGCTCCAGTGATATCCCCTCACCAGTGGGCGTGACTGGATGGAGGAGAGGAAGGACAGCACAGTATTAGGAAGTCAGGCAACCGCTGTGTGGAAGTGTGTGTGTGTGTGTGTGTGTGTGTGTGTGTGTGTGTGTGTTTTGAAGGGGGCTCTGAGGCTTACTCCTGGCTTTGCACTCAGGGATCCTCCTGGCAGGGCTGGGGAACCATTAAGGGGATCTGGCCCAGATTGACCGTGTGCAAGGCAAGTGCTCTAACCACTGTACTACCTGTCTGGCCCCTGCATGGGGGTTTTTAATTCTGGCAAAGTCAGAACCAAGACTTTCTGCCCGGTGCCTTTTTCCGGGGGTCATTCGAGCCAGGCGGCGGTGCTGGGGAGAGCAGTCTCGGCCCTCGTCACTCAAATGGGTGAGGGGGAGGGTCTGCGTCTCCTGACTCCGGGCCCCCCTCCGGGCAGAGAATGAAGCACACTGACACGAAGCTGGGCGTCACCTGCGACCTGAGCCCCGTCAGCCTGCGGAGGGAGCGCTTGGTCAGGTACCGGATCAGCGCCCAGACGCTGATCGACGGGGTATGGCAGGAGTTCCGGACCAACGAGATCACCCAGAAGTTCGGCTTCTTCATGCCGTCCTGCAAAAGCCACGTGAGGGCCGCCCGCACCCTCCTTCCCTCTGGCCCGTTTCCGTCCCGCTCTTCCACCCACACTGACTGAGGGCCGGGGGGTGGGGGTGGGGGGGTGGGCCTTGAAGCTCTGTGGAGGAAGCTTGTCAGGCTCGAGGCGTAGGGTGCGTTGAAGGAACCTTCTAGAAAGAAAAGCTGAGCAGTAGATAGTACAGGTCTGAGGCGCTTGTCTTGCACATGGTTGACCCCGTTCGATTCCCGGCACTCCATATTGCTCCCTGAGCACAGCCAGGAGAAGCCCAGAGCACCAGCAGGTACAAACTGCCCCACCTCCAGCCCCCCCAATAAAAGACAAGAAAATCCAGGTCCACTGAAGCCCGCCAGACTGCCCGGCTGTCCTGGGACCAGCAGGGGGGAGGCCAGGTTGGTGGGCACAGAGTGGGTGCAGAGAGGATGCACCACCAGCCTCCCGCCATCCAGATGCACCAGAAACTTCCACCCCAGCCACTGCCCAGCTGCCTTGCTCTGGCTCGTGGGGGGCGGGACCAGGCCCTTGTCCTCAGTGACTGCCTCAGCATCTAGGCAGATCCGGTGCCTGGTTCCGTTCCTGATGCCAGAAGTTTCTCTGTGGTCCCCGAAGGAACTCAGGGCTGATGGCTCCGGGGTTCTAGGAGCTCTCTGCAGGGGCTTGGCCTTGAGTGTGGGCAGTTCTCAGGGCCATCACAGCCCAACGGCCCTTTGCAAATTCTAGGCTGAGACCACCAGCCGCATGGGCACATCGTTCCCGTGGGCCTGAGCTGTGCTTTTGAAACTCTAAGGGACTTAAAAAATAAGCATAGGGGGCTGGAGCAGTAGCACAGCGGGCAGGGCGTTTGCCTTGCACGCGGCCGACCCGGGTTCGGTTCCCAGCATCCCATAGGGTCCCCTGAGCACCACCAGGAGTAACTCCTGAGTGCAGAGCCAGGAGGAACCCCTGTGCATCACCGTGTGTGTGACCCCAAAAATAAAAAAAAAAAAGCATAAGGGTCAGAGAGGTAATAGAGTGGGCAGAGCACTTGCTTGGCAAGGGCCAACCCGGGCTTGATCTCCGATACCCCAGATGGTCCCTCAAGCCCCGCCAGGAGCCAGGAATAAGCCTTGAGCACTGCCAGGGGTGGCCCCCAAACCCAAAGAATTTTCTTTCAGAATTTAATCAAAAAGCCAGCGGTGAGAAGGCTCATCGCCCGTGAGTGGGGTCCACCCCCACCCCACCCCCTTCCCATGTCTCCACGGCAACTGCACAGAGGGTCAGAAACCTCTCGTTGGCTTCATTTCCTCCCTTAGATCCTGAGAGTCCAGACGGTGGGCTTCCCCATCTACGCCAGCTTCTCACTCATCTTCCCAATCTCCTGAGCTTCCAGAAGAATCTATGGGGTGCCCCCCCCGCCACCAGACTGCACAAAAGACAATAAAATGCCATTCCACAAGTCACCAGGCAAATTTCAGCCACTGTCTGCAGGGTCTCGCGGCGGCAGCTGCCCCAGCGTCTTGGGGGCCCAGAATCCAGAGTGTGGCCCCTGGCAGCCACTCCCAGCTCCACCAGCTTCTCCTGGAGTCCACGGGGGCAGGGGCGAGCCCACCTGCCTCTTCCGTGGCCCCCACGTCCTTCGGAGACAGCCACCTCCCAAGGGCCCGTCTTTAGTTTTCAGTGCGGGATGTCTCCCCCGCCGTGCCAAGCAGTTCTTGGGAGACCCACGGGGGGGTCCCCCCTGGCAATTCAGGATGAGCCAGACCAGCAGCTCAGGGCAGGGAGGGGGGAAAGCACAGGGTTGGGGCCCCCACATTGTCCCAGCAGTACCAGGGGCGCCGGGCAGGACTGCCTAGGCCATCTGTATGCAGGGCAAGTATCTTACCCGCCACACGAGTTCGAATCCGTGTTGTTTGTGGGACTCGGCTGCACCCGGCAGGGAAAAAGTCTCCAACCCCATTCCCAAGCTCCTGGCAGGGTAGAGTCACTGCATCATGCCGCGTCCCCATCACCTGGCCCTGAATCCTGGGAATCACTGTGCACTCCCCCGGGGGAGAATGTCCTTCCTGCTTGTGCCGTCATCACAGTGCTCTCAAGAGTGCAAACTGTTACCCCTGGGCCCTGAGGACTAACGCAGGGCTTGAACATCGACCTTACAAGTCAACGGTCAAGAGTTCGAATCTGGGGGGGCCCACATGAGCCTCACTCCTCCTGGGAGCACATTTCTGTGCAACCCCCGACGGTATTTTCTTTCCCGCCTCAATGCGGCCAGGAGTGTGTAAACAGCACAGAATGGGGTGAGAATCCAACAAATAGCACTGCTGGGTCGTGTGGGCGGGTTTAGTTTCAAAACCCAATTTCCTGGGGCTGGAGCAATCGCACAGCGGGGAGGGCATTTGCCTTGCACGCGGCCGACCCGGGTTCGATTCCCAGCATCCCATAGGGTCCCCTGAGCACCGCCAGGAGTAATTCCTGAGTGCAGAGCCAGGAGGAACCCCTGTGCATCGCCGGGTGTGACCCAAAAAGCAAAACAAAAACAAAAACAAACAAACAAAAAGAACCCAATTTCCTTCAGAACCAAAACCGGGAGGAGACGGTTTCTGGCGCTCGTCATGTCCACTCCTCACCACTAGGGGGCAGCAACTGCACCTGAACAGGAGCCAGAGCCCCGAGCTCCTTTGGGTGCGGCTGGGAGTTGAACTTGCAACCCCCCCACCCCCCCACCCCCCCAGGCAGGCGCTGGTCATTTGAACGCCCACAGCACAAAACCTCTGGGCTTACGCCTTGCTCTGCACTCAGGGATCACTCCCTTGAGATGAGAAGTTTTGGATTTGATCTTACAGGTGAGCACTTCCTGGACGAGAGTTGAAAACTCAGGGTGACGGCCAGGATGCTGGTCAGCCCCTCGGAGCGCCTGCTGTGCCGTCCTCCTCTGTGCTTCTCCCATCAGCCCCGGCCCCAGCCCCACCTGTCCCGTCAAGAGGGGATCCACGCTTCATCCTGCAGGGCAGTGCTCTTGGGTCCAGGAGTCAGGTCGGGGTTAGAGTAAGTAGAGTTAGAGTTTACCTCCACACTCTGCCCATGACCCGCTGTGTGGCCTTAGGCAAGTCACCAAACCTCTCTGGGCCTCCGGATCTTATCTGAAATTGACCCTAAGACCTGTGGTGACCATCAAATCAATTAACATGTGAGTTATGAAAGACCTAACACATAGGAGGTTCCTTGATGCTTGGAACCACATACTTCTCTTTTTGTTTGTTTGGGTCACCTCTGTGGTGTTCTGGACTTACTCCTGGCTTTGTACTCAGTGATCACTCTTGGCGGGCTCAGGGGACCAGACGTAGTACTGGGGATCAAACCTCCGCCGAGCTCCAGGCTGTTGCCCCTGGGCGCCCCTCACATGGCCTGATGTGGAATCTCCCTCCCGAGTCCCTGCTTCCTGGCTGTGGGATCCAGGCCAAAGGACCCTGCCGCGGGGTCTCTGCTGGAGGAGACCCTCTCCCCAGGTTGCAGGCCGGGGCCTGTCCATGGGAAAGGCGGGGACCGGCCAGCCACGGTGCTGGCCTCACTCCGACCTTGTGGCTTGTCCCTGAATGTGGGTCACTCTGTGAACTAGAACAGGCCTGGGCATGGCCTGGGCATGGGCACTCGGTGCCCAGCAGCAGGTAGTGCTCACTCGGGGGTGCTCAGGAGCCTGAGGAGAAAGACCCCAGGGCGGAGCCACTCCTCTGCCCCCACCTTAGACTGGCCGGATCCAGGGTCCCCCCTCCCACCCTCCGTCAAGACGTCCCGACTGTGTGGCCTTCACCAAACCACCCAGCCTCTCGGGACCCCCCAGAGAAGTTCTAGAGACGGAGGTGGTGGGCGGCAGGGCGGGCCTCGTGCCTGACCCCCCAAAGCACGGACACGCCCCAGACTCCCCTGGACTGGGCCTACAGCCCCTGCAGGAACCGAACCAGCGGCACCATCCTGGAAATCGCCCCGTCCTTAGGCAGACAGACATAAAGCAGCCCCCCACCCCCACCCCCTAAACTCCGCCAGAAGCTGCCGCTGCCCCTGGTGCCCGGCTGGATGGTTCCAGAGCCCGCTGTGTCACTGTGCAGGGACTTTGCGGGAGAGAAGAATGGCTGTCCCCGGGGGACAGAGAGCCCGGGACTACACAGCGGGGCCAGCAGGTAGAGGCCGCTGACACAGAGGGTAGAAGTCTGTGACTGCAGACCAGGGCGTGCGAGCAGGTTGGTCTATCCCAGACAATGAACTGTGTCTCCCCCGATCCCCACAGCGACCGGCCACAGTGTGACCCGAGCATCATGCAACTGACTCAGAGCTTCCGGCCTCTGACCCGTGAGAGGGTGAAAAGTGCACGGTCTGCTTTGGGGGGCTACACTGGGCTGACCCTCACCGCAGGCGGCAGAAATGGGCTTGGGATATGGGGTCGAGCCCCCTGCTCGAGGCAGGGGCCTGTGGCAGGAGCAAGTGGACCCCTCAGCATGGGGGGCTCTGCAGGGGCTGGCAGACAGGCAGGGAAGTTGAGGATGCCCACCGTCCAATCCCACGGCGTCACCCAGATTCACCCTGGGCAGGCGGGAGGCTCCGACCCCACAGCGGGGGCTGCTCTCCAGGGAACCTGGCCAGCTGCGGGGCTCCACGGGGGTGCAGGGGTGCGGGGGTGTGGGCGAGACGCTCTGGCCCTGTTCCCTGGCAACGCCACGTGGGTGCCCAACACTGGACACCGCCTGGCACGTCCCCGCACGGCTGGCTGACCTCCGCTTCCACCTGGCTCCCTGCCCAGTGGCCATGGAGAAACTCCGCCCTCCGGGCCTTGAAGGCGGCTCTGAGCTCTCTGTCCAAGCCACGCAGTGGGCCCGGAATGCCCACAGAAATAAGGTGGAGAGCCCTGGGGTGAGCTGGCCTGCAGTGGGCGCCCCATGGCCACTCTATGCCCCCCCCAGACACGGTGGAGTGACGGGTTCACGGAACAGCGGCTGACCTGCAGTGGGCACCCCAAAGTCCATCCCCAGATGCGTCCAGGGGCCCTTGGACCTGCAGTGGGCACCCCACGGCCCATGTCCCGGACACACCCGGAGACCCTCCAGTCCCTGCATGCACCGCCGACACATTCCATGCAGACGGGGAGGGGGTCCCTGGAGCACCCGCTGGCCTGGTTCACAGCCTCACTGTATCCGCATACATGTCACCACGCTTCACCTAGGGTCACTGGCTTACTCATGGCAACTCACTGTGACCATCGGGGACGTCCTCCTCTGCCACATGAAGTGGTTGCTAGACAGCCAGCCCAGTGGGCGGCCGCCGGGTGAGTGACCGGATGTCACAGTTCCAGGTGTCTCAGGGCTTGGTTGACCCATATCAGGGAGCGGGGCAAGGAGCACCCACGTTCAGGATTCCCTCTCTGCTCCCCTCAGGCCCTGGGCACAGCTCCCGGGCCTCTGCCACGAGCTCAGCGCACTCGGCCAGCTCCCGGCCCGGCCGTTGCAGTGTCTCGGGTCTGTGTCAGTGCCGATTTCTCTTACCCGCTGTTCCGACACCCTGGGGGACCACCGTCACCCAGAGATCAGGTCAGGTGGCTGCTGGACAGCTGGAACCCCACCACATCCCAGACAGGACACGGGAAAAGATCTGGCAGGCAAAGGGATGGGCACCTAGGGGTACTTAATGGCAGGCAAACCATGCACAGCACTTTTAGTACAAATAGGTCCCACAGCATCCCCGAAATTCAGGCTTTGTGGGAGGCCCGTGTTTTCTCCAGGTGTGGGTTCGAGAAAGACATCTCAGCACCTCTTTTGGGCCCCCTGAGCTCCAGAGGGACCCCCTCCCTCGGCCTTCTTGTCAGCTTGGCTTCTCAATCTTGGAAATCGGTGCGGCGAGGGGACGTGGCGTGTCACCTCTTCCAGAACTTTCTGTTGCCGCTGGCCTGGAAAAAGTCCCCTTCCTTCCTCCCTTCCCCCCCCCCCCCCGGAGAAGCTGAGCACAGTCCCCGTGCAGTGTCTGAGGCCGGGCCACGCCGTCTCCCGTCCACACCACCCGCCTGGATTCCAGAGCTGATAACATCGGGGCTCGACAGGTCACACGAGAGTCTGGGCAGAGCGAGTCCCTCCAGGGGGATGATTGGAGAGCAGGTTTACGAGAAACACCTGGGCCTCCTGCTCCATGTCCCCGGGGCCTCCGGGAGCCCCTCGCAGGGCCAGGAGAGACGGCGCGGTAAGTACGTGCCGGCTCTGCATGCCGCCGACCTGGGCCTGATCCCTGGCACCATACTAGTCTCCCAAGCACAACGGGAGCCATCTCTGAACACCACCAGGTGTGGCCAGAATAAAAAAGACTCCCGGTGCCATCCTTCCCGCCGGGGCCTCGGGCGGTCTACACTTGAGGAACAGCACCTGCCAGACATCGTGCCCAGCCCTGAG